GGCTCAAGCCTAAACGAATCAGTTTTGGTGGATCAGTCTATTATTGCTAACAGTTGATGTGGCCTTTATAGAGGTAGTCCCCCAGAAATAGTAGAATATTCATGAATATACAATGAGATATGGGATCTCCGGACCACCTTGCTGTATTCTTGGACCTTCCAATGACTACTACAAACTCCCATACATCCCAGGATGAAGGATATTATTTTACAAGCCGGCATTTGGGCTCGAGCCGGCCCGGCTCGTGAAGAGTCGGGCTTGTATAGGCTCGAGACAACGGCTCGAGCTAAAAGCTCGAGCAAGTCCGGCTCGTGGACCACACTAGACTAGAGGTATTCGATTGAGCCTCCATAATCCCTTTTCTTTGGCCATCTGGCGGCTTCTACCACTGAAAACCACCAATACAAAAAAAAATCACCATTAAATATATACAACTCAGGCTCACGCTCATCGAAATTATATGTCTATATACACAAAACATAGCCATCCCTGAAAGAGACAAAAGAAAAAGAAACAAGGAAAATAAGGAAAATAACTCCGTAAAAAACATAATTTCGTGCCTCATATCACATACTATGTATTCGACAACCTTAGGCAAAAGCCAAAGTTCCTCATCATCCTCCCCGCCTCTATAAAACCGCCGATCGAGAATGCAAACCCAATTATGACAATGATTGTCTTCGTCAGCAGTTCCATCAGCCTCCACCACTTCTTCCTCCCACCCTTCGTCCCCGCCAAATCGAGAACTCCAAGAACCTGGCCAGACACTAACCACCCCATCATAAAGGTCCTCTGCCTCATCGTGCTTTCCTCCGGCTTAAACCTCGATAATGCACCAAGAATAATGTACGGCAGGATAAGAGCGCTAATGACGATTATAAATACCGACTGGTGATAGAAACGATTCGACTTCTTAACCTCTTTCTTCTTACGTTGATACTGGCCCGCGCCCGGAATGATGATTTTGGTGCAGTGGCTTGTCGACACCGGCTCCTTCTGCTGTATCATTGGCAGTGCATGCTGCGGGTTCCCCACCGGCTGATCGAATCGTTGTGCCGCGAGTGCAAATTCAGCGCCTAGTGGCTCTGCTTCAACCACTTTCCATTTCCTCCCTGTTTCCTCGTCGTTGACGTCGAGCTCGTACGCGTAAATTCCTCGCTCTTTGTGGCGCTTGAACTTGATGTCAGTCCACTCCCGTCGATCGAGGTCTGGGATCAGTGCCCCTACGGCTCCGACAAACTCTTCCTTGGTGCGCCCGAAGGCCTCGACCATCACTTCGCTCTCGATCATGAAGAGGGTGTCATAGTCCGCCTCGATGATGTTTGCGATCGCGTTGAGGAAAGACATGATTGTGTAAGGAATGACTGAAAATCCGAATGCGGCATAGCCGTAGTTTTGGACCTGTGCGCCATATGCGCCGTAGAGTGTGTATATGGAGAATAGAATCTGGAGGGCACCAAGGAAGGACTTTGCGGTTCCATAGGAGGAAGCAATAACGATTGTGCTACGATCTGTGGTGGGGTTAATGGCCCCTAGAGAGGTCCCCGGAGGTAGCTTTGCGAAGCCGTACCCGTTAGGGAGATTGTATTGGCCTTGAATCTTCCATTTAGTGGGATTCACTATTTGTTTCATATTCGGAGTCTCGATACAGAGTACTGCCTCCTCCCTATGGTGTGAACCTGAGGACCTGTTCTTCTTCCTTGATCTTTTCGAGGGCTCCTCGAGCGTGCAACCTCGAATCACGTCGCCATTCTTCGGCTTCCATGTTTGTTGCCGCTGCACTATGCAGAGAGTCTCAGCGTGTAGTGCCTTGCCAATTTCATCTTTCCCTAGAAAACGACTTCCTCGAGCAATAGTACTGGCAGCCTGACTGATACCAAAGAATGGGACGAATAGCGATATGATGGTGCGAAAGTAGTCGCGCGATCCCTCGTAGCCGGATGTCTTCTTGAATGTTGCGATACGCGCGATGTAATTTGTGAGGAAAAAGGATAAAATTTGGGTCCACGGCGCCGGCACCACACACAGGCTAGACGACGTGAACTGTATATTGCTGGGAATTGTGCTTGATGTTGTTCCTGTCGTCGTCGTTGTTTGGCGGGGGAATAGGCCTCGAGGGAGGGCGTTTGCGATGTACGGAAGTAGGCCGATGAACACTATTGCCGAGAGTGTTGAGCGCAAGCTGGACGCTGCAGGGAGCCTCCTGCGTAGGTGCATTTCGTATTGTTTCTGTTCTTCGATTCCTTTCCTCTAGAATTCTATCCCACCTTGGTTCTTCAAGATCAGTCAGATAGGATCAAGGGCAGGCGAGCAAATTGTAACAACACGGGGAAGGGGATCAGTCAGTAGGAAAGGGGAGAAGGGAAGGGATCCAATATACATACCATACCTGCCTCCACAGCTCGTATGGGAAATGTCAGATATGAGGGGGAGGGGAATGTTACTGCGCCGTAGCTATTCTTCATTGGACCCTGTCGCGCAGGGTCATGTGTTTACACGTAACTAACCGTTTCGCATCTGTTGCCAGGCAACGGGGCGACGGGGCGACGGCGGGCCTGCAGCGCCCTGACAGCCGCCATAACATGCAAGCGATACAGGCTACAGGATGTACCTATATAACCTACTACATACAGCTCTTCCACATTCCATTGGCTGAACGGGAAGGTGTAACCTGCACGTACGCTCCCCGCATCATCTTTTCTGGGTAGTGGAGGGGATGCCGAAGACCGAATCGCGAGCTGCGGAGATACGTGGATGTGCCTGGTTCCATTCAAGATCTTGGCGTAGATACAAATTGCAAAACCCGCACCGTTTCACCCGGAAAGTTGCAACTTGGGTTGCGGTCGTTGCTGTCAATAAAACTGGATTTATAGAGTATAGATATATCATTTTCAATTGTGAGGGGTTTCATACCGTCTGTGGAGGTAAGTATATATGTAGCTGGCAGCTGTGAGCTCTTATCAGGAACTCCTGGTTTGGGGGATAGCCGCGGCATATACATGTATATATATTGATCGACTTGAATGATTTGATTGCTGCCCTATCGGCTAGGATAAGATGAGATCATCGATGACTCAGACTAAGGGCCGATAGAAAAGAAGAACGAAGGCCTTCCGCTTTTATACTCCCCAAAAGAGCAAACCAGCAAGTGACGATATAACTGGCCATTCCGCACAGAGGTCAAGCAAACTGTATGATGTAGTCACAGATTGAAAAGAACATAGTGTTGACATGATGTGTCCGCACACATTTTGGAAAGCCAACTATCCAGCGTATATGCATCGTATATATGCACGCCGGTAAGTATGAGTGGTCTGGCCCTCTTTATATACATTTTCACTCAAGCCTCGCGGGAGACTGGATGACCTTGAGTGATCTTTTATGATCCAGAACACCGAGTAACTATTGGTACCACTCTCTCCTACCCTTTTTATCCCAAAGCCCGCATGCATGAGGAAATTTCGCCCACGAATACCACACCACAATATCTCTAGCTAAAAGGAATTCAATTTCTAACTGGTTGATCTTGGGGAATTAATTGCCGCAATCGAGGAAAAAAGAAAAAGAGAACAATCCACAGCCCAGAGAGTTGGGTCCATACCGATGAATTAAACAGACTGGGTCCATTTCCGGTGTGTCCAAATAAAGGGGAAAATCTCATTGAGTATTCGATGTAGTGTCAAAAAACCGTATGTATGGCTAGGCGTTTAATTGTAGTGGATGAGGTAGCGAAGTAAATCGCATCACAATCCGTCACTCGGAGTAAGCAGCTCTTGTCGATATGATATCCACGGGTTAGAATCAACGGGTTCAACATACATATTACCAAGCTATTGAGGGTTTTGAACACGGAATGCTGTACAATCGCCCTTAACTTCTAGCTCTACGAGCCATAGGCAAGCTAACACATTGCGCCCTCATAGGTAGCGGGCACGCACTAGTGGAAGGGTGTCCACCACTCTCTGCGCAGAGTGTCAAGAGTTCGAGGTCTTGAGCTTTATATCGTACAAGTTTTGAGAGCTTTGTTGCTTTCTCCCCCGCCGGTTTGAGATTTGTCCGGTTCTTGGAAGTTGGGAGTGAGCATTGGATGAAAGAGGACGGCACTGTACGAGATGGTTATTGAAAAGGGAAGCGTACTACATCAACTTTGGTCTTCAAAGCTGCAAAAAAAACAAAGAATATTCCATGGCTAGTGCGGTAGGACGAACCATGGTAAATTGTATACAAAGGATCTCAGAGGAAAGAAAAAGTAGTGAGGGTTTCTACAGGTGTCCACTTCTGTCCGCTTATGGCTGTTGTCCTCCAGTGCAGAAAAAGTGCGGGCATTGGAAAGTTTGTCTCGGTGACGGACCGGGGGGGCGGACATCTGTCTCCACTCCTAACATTGTCAAACTCTTGGCACTGCCGTCTGCCGAGTGACACCCCGTGAAGCCTCACCACCAACCAACCAACCACCCCCACGGAAAAGGTCTAAAATGACACAGTTATCGGTGGACATGCTCTAAAATAACACATGATGTAAGATGATACAGTTCTCTATAGTACGATCTAAAATGAATTCTACAGGTGACATCGAATCGATGGGTTAGGGGTGTCTACCTCATCTTGGCACACCGCCAAGCTCAAGTATCACTTCCAGTGCAGCATCCACCATGGGCGAGTGGTCTAACGGTTAGACTGCTCGTCGGGTTAGACACCGAGTGTTTACCCAGGATACAAGGTCCTGGGTTCAAACCAGGGGTGGGGTAGCAACGCACACTGATCAATAAGTCGTTGCAGTACCTTTTGTTCTGTTATTAATTTTTTTTTTGTGATGAAATAAACAACCTAGTAGGAGGTTACTTTGATCCCTGATCTCTCGAGAGGGGGAGGCGGTGAGGTCGAGTAAATTTTTATTTTGGATCATGGTGAACTGTGACATACCAAAGGCTCTGTCATTTTAAACATTTCCATTATTTTTAATAAATATATACAACATCCACACCTCCCATGTACACCAACTATCTCAACCACGAATTAATATACGCCATACCCTCCTTCCTATACGTATCGGCCTCCACATAGCTCGTATCATTCCTAAACACAAAGTTGTTCGGCCCTTTCCTATAATCCGGCCACTTCGCAATTCCGTCAACGCCATGCCCGTTGGGGTCTAAGTCTGTCACAAAGCTCGCCCACATGCGCGCCATGAGGTGCCCAAGCTTAACGTGTGATGGGTCGTCGCCTAGTGCGGTGATGATCTTGTTGTCGGTGTTGGAGAAGACGTAGGGTATCTGTTGCGTAAACCGTTATGTTAGTACCACCCCGGAATAGCGTATGATGAAGTCGGAAGGAGAGGATAGGAACATACATCAGAAAAGTGCCCAACTCCCACTTTACTCGTGGTGTTTTGCAGCGGGCTGTCGAAGCGGTAGGAATACACTTTTTGGTCGACACCCTTGGCGGAATACGTCTCGGCGAGGAGACGGCGTGGCGCATCCATGGTGATATCGCCGGCGATGCTGGAGTAGCGCTTGTACTGGAGGCCGAGAGAGGGCCATGTACGGTTTCCGGTGCCGAATGGTGAACCTACTGCTGGATCGTCGGGGTAGAAGGAGAGGACCTTTTGTGCTTGGAATGTGTTTACCACCCATCGTTTTGACGCTGAACTTTTGCATTAGGATCTGTCTACGAGCATCGCCGGGAGGACGGAAAGGAAGGTAACTTACTGATAAGCTGCGCAACAGCCTCTTCGTCGTTATCGACTCCGCCCACACCAAAAGACGTGCCCTCATCCGTGCAAGTACCTAGGAGAAGAGGGACCTTGATGAGCTTCTTCTGCTGAAGGGACAGCACAGGCCATTGCTCGACAAAATTGCCATCTACTACTGCGAACCATTCATATCCAACGTTCATGGCGGGGTAGATGCTGTCGTATGGCACCTCACGTAGGCATTGGAGCGTGTCAGTTGCGTTGTAGCAGCCGGTCGTGGTCGTGATGCGGTCGTAGAGGGGCTGGTACCATCGGGTGTCGTTGTGTGGGGGGCCGATAGCATTGCCGGATTGCAAAATCGCTTGAGTGTTATTAGTACTGGATGCGTTAATTAGATAGGGGACTTCGGGTTACAAACCTGCGCGGAATAGACCATCATCACGCCCACCGTACGCCAGTAGATGATTCCCGACACTGAAAGCTCCCGCCGACTAAGCATTCAATTGACCAGTCAGTACTCTGCAGGCAATTAAATGAATCAGAATCAATGGCTTGCTCACCTCGCCCCAGATCGTAACCTTGTCCGCGTCACCTCCGAAAGCCTTGATATTCTTTTGGACCCATTCCAGAGCCACACGCTGATCTCTTATGCCGAGGTTTGTATTTCCCGAGTTCTGGTTCGGTCACTTGTGTCAATGATTGAAACACAACGGTCAGGGCTAGGGTTAGGAGTGTGTTACCAGAACGTCCTGACCGTACAGAAAGCCGAAACCACCGAGACGATAGTTCATTGAGACACCGATAACGGGCTTACCCATTTCCGCGCTTTGCTCGATGATGTAGCTCATGTTGTAACTATAGATTTCGTTAGTTTAGTCAATTGACCTTTCTACAATAACCAGTAAAAGACCAACCGTGGATCCGCTGTAGTTCCCTAATGTCACCGATCATTTCCGTCAGCGTCTCTCCCACACAACCCACACAACCCACAAAACCAACCCGTCAACATCAAAAAGAAATAAAGAATCAAAAAGCATACCTGCATCCACCCACCACCATAAATCCACACCAACACCGGCAACTCCTTCTTCTCATACCCCTTCGGCACAATGACATTCAAGTTCAAGCAGTCCTCATCCAGCGTGATCATGCCCTTCTCCAGCAGCACCGTCGTATCACTGCCATACGAGGGGCACGACGCGCCATACTGCTTCACCTCGCTCGCCTCCTTCGACTTTGTCGTCAGCAGCGTGGCGGGCGTGAACCGCTCCGGCTTCGCTGCGTACGGGATGCCGAGGTAGACATCTTGGTTGAACTCTGGTAGGGAGCGGCCGATGAGGGTCCCGGTGTTGATGGTCACTGTGGGGTCTTTGGCAAAGGCAAAGGGGGAGGCTAGTAGCCAGCCAGAGAGCTGGAGGAGGATGCTTTTGGGCAGCATCGTGGACAGAGTGTGCAATTGCGAATTAGGGTTCAATTGCAGTGGAGAGCTTCTGGACAGCACGTCTACAGGAAAAAGAACAAAAACAACGTGGGATCTGGCCTTTTATCTAGAAGGGAGATGCAGTTGAGGGCCCCGTTAGAAAACCGGTATTCACAGAGCGTAGAACAAGTACGGGATAATCGGTACCGAAGCTCACGGCTATGGCGATTTATCCGATTGCTAGTTTTGCGGGGTACATGGTACGTATACTTTTGTGGGGGAGCGAGCGTGGGGAAGCTGGGGAAAAACGGCGTTCGCCATCTTACCCCGGAATCTGCGCATTTGAGTTTCTCGGTAGTAGATAAAGGCCGCCCGGGGGGGGGGGGGGGGGGGGGGGGGCTAGAACAGGGCCCACTTTTAGTTGATTACAATTCACAAAGACGTTCACGTGCAGTGCCATCGACCGGGTTCAGAGGCTAATTCCGGTAGTTCAATTTCACATCACGACGTAACTGCTGTAGGTACGTTCTACTCTACAGCTGCAGTGCCTTGGCCATCCTGACGGAAAAATACAGGTCCGTGGCCCTCTCCTTTATGCTGATATTCAATTGGCTCAAGCACGTGCTGATCGTGGCTCGCTTGGGTAACTGAAGTAGGTACAAGCTGTATTCAGGCAAGACCCTAATATTTAACCAACTATCTAGTGGGTTAGGGTTTCCAAACAACAATTGTAGGTACAACCTACAACGGCCAAACCCCCGAGAGAAAACGTCCATGGATTCCAGCACCGGAAGAATTCGTCGATCAAGTTCTCTCGGTGATAAGAGTTCACCCAGTCATCCCCCATCACACGGCAGGGCGAGGTAGTACAGAACAATTCTTTCCTGAGGGAAGTACTAGTGGATACCTCCCATCCCCATACTCTACCACTTTGCCAGGGTTCGGATACAAAAGATCAATGTATTTATCCACGCCATCAACGGTGGTCCATGTTGGACTATCGCATCCATTGCCAATATTGGCAACCATCATGTTCGGGAGATGCGAGATTCCACTACCGCCGTTCTTGATGTTTACGCTGGCGCAGTTCTGGAACATCTCGTGGTCACGGTTGAACCAAGACCTTAAAACCAATAATAGGTGTTAGAAATGAAACAGCAGCAAAGGAAAGGAAAGGAAGAGGAATAGACATACCAAGAAAATATAACGATACCACTAGGCGCTTCTTTGGGGATCGTGAAGTTGAACTTCTGCTCCTCATCCATGCTGCGTTTCGGGCAGGACCCGATGAAGCTCTTGATGACCTTGAACGTTTGTCCCCGGTCGTATGAGAGCGAGATCTGACAGCTGCCGCCGCCATGTGGCCCGCCCTTTTTTTTCGCAGCAGGGCTGTTTGGCTCGAGCCTAGCAAAACAAAACAAAAAACAAGATTAGCTAACTGTATATATATATAATGGGTGAGCTATATCAGGGAATTACATAAAGTAGCCCGTTCCACCGGCATTGTATGTTGCGACTTGAACGCCCTCCCGAGTACCCATGAGCTTTGCATACCCACGGCAAGGATAATCGGAGCCGTCAGGTTTGAGAGGGTCGTTATAGTTATCGTCAATGGGTCTAGAGTGGCCCCGGTGTGGGTTGAGTTCGTAGTTAAGGGGTGTGGGGAACTTCATTCCCATGTGTGCGGATATCGCTGGCACACATACCAGCAGCAGGGTGTTGATAATCATAACTGATCCAAAGTTTTGACGTATAAAGGTGGGCTACCTAGATTGTATGATATAACCGGAATGACGAGAGAACCTTTAAAATACAAATCTTGAAATCGTGGAAGTGGCTGTTTGTAAGGACTGTGGTGGTTGGTGGTTGACATTCCATCTGCAAATCCTGAAAGCCTTTTAACACAGATTACAAACTCAGATGGCTCCGAGTCTCCCTTGAATGTGCACGTAGCCGGGCCGACCGGCCTTTGCAATTTTAAAGGGTTGAAATTCAACCAAGGGACCGAAGGGGAAATATATGTATGCAATGGGCCGGGTGTTTAGGGTTATATTTCATATTAATCATCATCCCCAGATTTCTGCAGTTCGTATGGTCATAGAGTCTTGTTTTCTATCAATACTTCTTACCACCATCGTGTTAGTAGGTGTAATTATGAAAAGATAAAACCACCCCTTCAACTTCACTCGATGATAGGAAACGATCTGGCAGGCAACCGACGCTATCCCCTCAGCTGCCTGCATTCTGCCCTGTGATTCTGAGTCGTATCTTAAAGATCAACTAGCTGACAAAAAGGATAAAGAGATCCGCGAGAAAAAGCCACTCCACCAGCGCAAAGTTTAGTATCGACAGACGAAGGGATATAGCATAAAACGAAAAGAAACACCCATTCGTTGATGGACAACTTAGCAGACAAAAATGCCGATAATGAATCTAAATGGAGCGGCAAAAGGAAATACTCTATCTACATTTGAGTAGATCGAGAAATTGAGGTCCCCAGGTCCATCCACGTAAGCCACTTCTCATGGAATCATGAAGCACGTATAATGTGGCTAGCAAAAAAGTACAGAAAAAACATGAGAAAGCTGATCAATGTCTAGACAAGCTTTCCTCCTGAGCGAACATTGCCTAATTGGCTCTGATCAAGGCTACATGTACTTTTGTCATATGGACCGTGGCCACCGCGGTTCGAGTGAAATGCACTTGTAGGTGACACACACTAGGGCAGTATTGAAAAAAGCTTATCGTAATACAAAGCTTTTGCTCCCTACCCTAGCCCTAACTTCTAGTACTACAATGTAGATCACAAAGACAGCCCCCACGGCCGACCCCCTCAAATACGTAACACCAGTGTGAACAAAAAGAAATCCGTTAATTAAAAAGAACGTATAGCAAGTACATAAGCCCCAAAAACACCCTCAACTATATCTACAGCTCATAAATATAACATAAGAAATCACCCTCCGTATCCATCAAATCAGCGACTTCAATCATATCTGCCAGTCTCCCAAGACCAAGCTCAAACTCGAGCGTGACATTCCCTGTGGGAAGACCAGTGCGGTTGGGGGCCAATATGTCTGTCCACGGCGCAATGGGGCCAGAGATATCCCAAACGCGGTTCTCCGGGTCGGCCATTGCCCATTGCCACCACATGCGGTCGAGGTTTGTGTGGTGGAGGTAGAAAAGTGGTTCTTGAATAGGTAGAGTTAGCATTTGAGGTTATATCAGATCTCAATGGATGGATTGGTACGTACCAGTATTCGCAGTAAATACATCAGAAGCAGATCCTGAGAATGTTAATATAATTCAATCAAGTGCATTAGAGCTCAGATCTAACAAACCTCCTACGGCGAAATGCCCTCCGCCGTGAACACCCATTTTGACATAACTAGGCTCTCCCTCCAGCACGTGGTGCATCCAGCCAAAATCCTTCTGTGCCATGATTTCCGCCTCGACGTTGGCATTGCACCAATCATTTGCAATTGTTGGGTTAAGACTTCGTTGCAAGCATCTATCATCCCGGATTTGAGTTGTATTTCTTCCGATATGAATAGTCCAATCCGCAAAGGGTCCGTCAGTAACACAGCCACCACCTGTACCCTTCGGAAGATCAAGTCCAGGAAGTGAACTGTCATTGGCATATTGACCATCTCCGCCGAAGCCTGTATCAGGGGAGAATATTGGAGAGGCTGATAAACTTGTGACTTCAGCCGTAGGAGGCACATCTAGGGAGTAGTCCCAATAACTATTTCTAGGCGTCAGCTTTTGTGTTGGGGAGAGAGGGATTCTATGAGTAGCATACGGTTGAGCGCCTTTATAGCCACAGCGGTTTCTCAAATCCTCTTCGTATGTCCACATAAAGTATCTGTGCCATGGGAGGAAGTGCCCCTTTTATTGACGTGTTATTTCAGAAATTCGTTGATTATATCAGGATTGAAGCATACCACCAGGTGCACATAAGGCGTTTGGGTCTTATGAACGTATATGTAGTCCTCAAAAACCGAAAGTCCATCAATTACATCGGCATACTGCCCTGGAATGCTGTGAAGGCAGTCTACAGCTCGGAGATAGTCGGCCTTCTCAAGATCAGAAAGCTTTCTCCTGCAAAGAGAGTTAGCTCCAGTCCCACTAATGTTTTATTTCATGGTGTCAAACCATTCTTTGCGCACTCGTGGATTCTTGCATATCCCATCATTATCATGTGTTCCATATTCCCCAATTTTCAATGGTAAAGAAGAGACACAAGTCAACCCGAAAGTAAGGATCGACAAAGCTTTCGAAACGGAAGATAGTGAAAAAAGCATAGTGTCCAGTACTAAGAATATGACTGTTGTGTTGCTGTTCAATGATACTGTCTCTGTAGAAATTGGAAAAGGAAACCTCTTTATATACCAAATCTTTCCTATTATCAAGATTACCCTAGCAGAATTGACAGCACCTCATTCATATCTCACCCAGCGCTATTAGAACGACTATCAATGCCGAAATATCTGCCTAACATAGCAGAACATGCAGAATCGCCATTTTTCCTAAACCGAACTCTTTATCCTAATGCCTTATTTTCATTCGCACATCTAGATCGCGACGCGGTGCCGAAACGGCATGCTAGAAAACAAGTTAAGCTAAGCTACCTGTGAGTGGCACAAGACGTTCAATTATCCATGGTACTTCCAAGTAAGATCCCTATTAGCTGTTCCTTGAACTCGGTAGTGCCAAGTCAAGGCCGAGTCTTTGTTGAACAAGTGTTCCCCTGTAAACAAGCTTAACCTAGCTAATTACCAGGAAGCTACCTGCATACATGGACACTAGTATATGAACCCACTTTTTATGACTTAAATTAGAGTCGAACTTCTGCGGCTCATATAAAGTTTTTGGGTAAAATCAAGATTTCTGGTTCTCTGCAGCAAATAGAGTGCACCTAAACTTTAATGTGCGTGCATAGTACCAATGATCGAAATTATAGCTCGAACAGAGTAAGCTCCCGTTTGAGTGATTTTCAGGGTCCCCAATCCATTAATATTACGCCTTGGGATGTAACTATCCAGAGAAGGTCGAACAGAAGCTCACCGCTTCGTACCCTATAACTATGGTCTATATATATGGGGACGAGGCTTCTTATTCTGACCCTAACGAATAGTTATTCAAGACAGTTTGATTGAGTGCATACGATAACGATACGCTGGCATAATCTCAGCCTTATATCTTTCTCGGCATTATTTGGCTGATTTGGTAATTGCAGCACTTACGCATCACATGTCTCTGCAGTACTTTGTGAAGTATAGAACCCGACGAATAGAGGATATTAAGTACTGGAAATTTTGTCTTTATGGAGCTGCTTCCGCTTTAAAGAGCTCCCATAGATAGCCAAGATTTTAATCTAAGAGCAAGTAAATTTATGCTCATACAACTAGAGTTATAATGTCACCTTATAGCTGAATTACTGGGGTATGGGCGATGTACGTAACACATCAGGAAGAGGCATCTAGCTGGCGATGTTAGTATTTGGAAAGGATTATGCATCCATGGACGTGAATACATACCTCATCTTTCCAGCCCTTCTCATAATTTACCCTTTTTTAACTTATCTCTTTTCCATCCAAACCCAGGTACGTTTCATCGAGTCTGTATTTGGATTGTTCTTACGTCCCTGAAAATAGAGAATCTCCCGGGTTGCCCTTTCTCGAAGACACTAAAAATAAAGCTTAAGTGATTGTTGTAATGCATGAGTGCCATGGGTGTTGTTTTTCGAAAGCGTGAGTACGTACACCCTTGTACCGAGATCGATTCTTCCAATGGACACTCTAGCAAAGTAGATACGATCCCCACATGCATTCCAGGCCTAAATCTTTACATCAACGCCGTTAATGATAGGCTTAATTTAAACGAGGCTACCCTTGATGTCAGATATCGTACCATTCCCGGAATCCAAAAAAGTCAGGTCCCTAGAAGAATTCAAAAACAAAACCCTCTGGCCTCCCACCCCTGGCCCATTCTTGATTTCGGAATTTCTCGGGCTCTAGTTGAGCTCAGATAAAAGAGCCTAGGATCATATATCGTAAATATCATTAGCCTTGTTGAAGACGTATATTGGTGAATCTTCATGCATGAGACATGGATATAGAGGGCATGTATCTCAATTGATATCGAAATCGATCGCCGTTGAAAAGGGCGCCAAAACCTCAATATCTGGGCTTCATAACCATAACATTATAGTTTCCCGTTTTTAACGCTGCGCCGCAGATGTGATTACGAGCACCTACTCTAAACGCGTCATATCAAACCTTTAAACCTTCTATAATAAAAGGCGTCAATAATTGCTCCTGTGTAAAGAAGGACGCCTCTGTTAACTGTACCATACCACTGAAAGCCCTAGACACTTATCTAGCGAGTTCGTCTGCTCTAGCCCATATATGGAGGTGGTTGCGATACCAATCGGGGCGTAGAAGATTTTTCTCTGTGTCATGTCTGAGTGAGATGTTGTAGCCTGTGTTAACAAAGCTTGCTAGTTCAAAGTACGATTGTGGATATATAATCTGGCCACGGATCTTGTAAGAATTTCAATCCTTATGAATCAGGTTCTATACGGGTCAGCGGCTGAGGTCATAATAGCGTTCCGGAGGATTCCAGATCCCATTACCGTTCATAAGTACCCCGAACCGACTCCGAGTACCTACATATCATACTTCTCCAATGGTTTTCCTTTGTGTCATCTTCTCAAGCACGGGTGATTGAGTAACAAAGGCTCTATATGGTTAGACCTAGTTGAGGCAGTGTTTTGAAGGATCATTCCTTAGATAGGATTATGCATTGATAGTCATGCACGGGATGAAGGCCGTAAGTGTACCTACGCATATTTTCTTGGGATCGTTCGTGTAAGGTACAACTTGGGACTAGCAGTAGGCTATTCCCGAGAGACTGTAATGTAGCTAGTAAACGTGGTCACAACCAAGTGACCACACGCTGTCATCATAAGCTAGCTAGTATAAATTACATGTATGGAGGTCTGCGGATGAGACCCCCAGAACATCAATACAAATGACTGAAATACATGTAACTCATACAATTCGAGTACATTATTTACCTTATGTAATTGTAATTAGATGCATGTTTACGTCAGGGCGGAGGTTCTCTGGTCTAGTCGAAAAACTATTCATCCATTAGAAGGTACTTATGAGTTAACTTTTTAGTACCATCATCATGAAGAGAGGTATTGTATACCCAAAAATAACAGTTCAGTTACAAGATGCTTGTCCATTTATCAGCTACATCAATATCCAGTCATGGATGTACCAATCCCATAATAAAAGACATTTTGTTGATGAGCGCCGAACAAGCTATGCCTGAAAGAAATAGGTTTCCCTCCGTAGAAAAACTCGGTTCCCTGCTTTGGAAAGCTCTCCTTCTGAACTAAATTCAATGCTGTGCTGCATTCCATAATGGTTAGTTATAGCGTGTGCGAGAGGAATCCCATAATATTAAAACCCCTATAAATGGACTGATTCGTTTAAATTGATGAATGGCCCTGGAGCCTGACTATAGTGAAGAAGTACTACGTTTAGGACTCCAACGTATATATTTTTATTTACCAAGGCAGCATTCTAGCTTGGCATCTCTCAATCGAGCTCAAGTACATGTAGTACAGTCACTTCCAGATAAAAAGAAACTTGGCTCAATAGTGAATGGTAGATGTTTCAACCAGAGGTTTGTTGGTTTCTGTGTCGGATCAGCCGTTGAACCACTTCGCCATTGAACCGGAAATAACTATACCATTCACACTTAGGTTCCCCTACAGATGTCTTACACACAGCACACTCGCTTCTCAATCCAAATCGGGGAAATTCTAAACCGCCTCTCGAGATCGAGACTCAGGTCACGTGAGTCACCCGCGCAGTACTTCGGTATCAAGGGTAGTGAGTAGAACGTGGCAGCGTGGCTAAAGCTGTAGTTTTCCTGTTTTGCTCGCGAATATGAACCGCCGCGTTCTACTCACTTACCCCTGATACCGAAGTACAAGTTAGGCGGCAGACGCCAGTGCTAGTGTATCTACTCCAGAAGCTAGAGTACAGTCCAAAGTTGCCAAAGTTCCGAGGATTCCGTATAGTTATTGATTTCCAGTGTGCTTCAGAGGACCCTGGACTAGACAGCAAGGGATCTAGTACATACGTTGACCTGATATCTGCTCACCATGGCATCACGTGACTCGTCAGCTGTAGCTAGGTACATGTGTACCCTAGAGAGCATAGGCTGTGGCTCGTTGACTAGATAAGCTTCATAAATGGTCAGATCTGCGCGTGCATGACTCGACTCACATTCCGAAAACGGACCTCAATGGTCCTCATCCACCTGAACTGTGTGTTACTCACACTCCTGTCCATACCCCGCCATTGTTCACCAAATGCATATCAGCGCTACTGGTACGTTGGTATTAGAAACACAGTGAGGCTGAGCTTGGGTGGAGCTGGGAAATGTGATAATTGATAATTGAATATGAGACTGGGCGAGGGATAATTCTCGCTTGGGAATTTTGCAAGGCAACAGAACCTCCAAACAGCTACAGAAGAAATAGGTAACATTGAATAGAGACCCGAGGAACACCCTAGACCTCAACGTCCACTGTCGACACCATCACCACTATCATCGTTAAAGAAACATTCCAACCACCTCCACCGACCGACTACATTCGCTTCTTTGTCGTCCCGGAATCCCGCTTACTCTCGCTTCATTTGTGGTGATTGTTTACTGGTAGCAACTTGACTGACGTTGCTGTTCCTCACTTGACGCTGGAGGTCGCGTGAAGGTGTTATCGATAACTACAACCCTCATTCGACAGTGCGTTTGATCTGAACCTAGCTGCATGAACCTTTGTGACTGAATCTTCATTCTCTACTTTCACCATCATTATTAATTCTATTAGCGATGGGCTTTTCACTTAGAAGGGTGCGTCGTTTTGCCGTCTTCGTATCTGGGCGGGTTCGGCGATTATGTACGGTGTCCCACCCCCACTGACACTTGTAGCCACACGATACTAACCGAGATATTCGTTTAATATAGCGGGAAAGACTCGTTGTTCGGTTTGCATGAAATATTACAAGTCCCATAACCTAAAGGTCCTCCCTCACTGTGCCCATAATTACTGCCGAGAATGCCTCCGTCGAACCTTCTTGCGCCTTGTGGACGATGGCGGCGAGAGCACAGTTCCTCCTCGCTGTTGCGGGCACGAAATTACTCTCTCAATCACTGGAGACTTCCTTGACGGAGTTGAAAACCCCACCGACACGATAGGGCTCAAAGAAAAGTATCTACAGGTCCTTGAAAAGCGTACAAATGATCCTATATTCTGCTCGAGAGGGTGTATCAAAGACGGAGACGTGGAGTTGGATGCCGGTCTTGATACGAAGTGGTTTATTACGCCAGAAGAGATCAGGGAGGAAGAAGACTTGGCAATATGTGGGAAATGCAAAGGAGGTACTTGCACTCTTTGCAAGATGCCAGCACCCCACATAGCTGAGGAATGCGGGATCCCCGGTGAAGCGGAGAAAGAGGAGATACGATATAAGCGATTGAGCGGAAAGAATGGGTGGAGATGCTGTGATTCTTGTGGTATGATGCTCAGCAGAGATGTTGGCTGCGCACACGTCGTTTGCAGGTATGAGCTCCTTTTGAAGGATACGAGTGATCGAAGCCATGTTTATTAATTCTCCGATTATCAGGTGTGGGAATGACGTTTGGCTCGCATTTTAGCCCTTCAAACTTCAACAATGATACTAATGGAATATATTACTGCGCTATTGGGCTGGGTAAGCGTTCCCATGTACCAATACTGGGTTTGCCTTTACGTATCTTTCATTCTATCCACGACAGCAGGTACTTTCTTTTGTCTACTACGCAGGCGTTGAAAAGTTTCTTTTATAGTTCCCTCTCTCTTTATATTCGATATGTATCAATGTTTTATATGTCTTTTTAGTAACTTGTTGGGGGGTTTGTCACTTTTTATTATATTTCCAGGCCCAGAGCGCGGACAGAATGTGACGATAGCTATCAACAATTGATTCTACGTAGATTCAATGGTTATGGACTTAGTTTAGTGAAAAAGAACTAAATTTGCCAAACGCTGAAGTAATGGTTGAGAAATGTTAATTTAGATTCATATTGGGAATGTGCTAATTTATCATGGGATAATTATTGGCGGGGCTTACTCCATAAGGTGCATGTATTGTTCTTTTTTCCTTGCCATGTGGCATTGATTCGGTTTGATCGGTGGTTAAGAGCGATCTTGGATCGTGGTTGACAGCAACAACCATTTACATTTAGTTACATGCCAAGAACAGTGCTAGCGTTCCTTATTGGAAGAATGACAGCTATGTAGCATCAAACGGTCAAACCCCGTTACGTAGAGTAGTCCGATAATGTCTCGAATACCGAAAAACATATGGCTCGAGAAGCATGGTGTAAACTTCGGCGTTTGCAGCCAATCAATCTATAGAAATTAAAAGATCTACTCCCCTAATGGTACTAGCGCCTATCCTAGTGGTAGAATTCTCTCTAATTCCCATGCAAAAAAAGTTCCTCTGAAGTTGACACACCCACCCCCTATGCCATAGAGTGCCATAGAGTGCTACAAGTAAGAAATTCCCGTGAGTGCCGTACGATACCCACGAGTTGCAACACGGCCACCTGCTTTTTCAGGAATACGTGATAGAGGCATCAGCTTCGTATACGTACATATGCGTCCACGATTAGATTCGAATTTTTCCATGCTATATTGCGGTGCATACGGAAATTGAACACAAACACATGATATTTTCGGCTTTATAAACATTCTGAAAATCTTCAAAACATATGCCAAGAACTATACATAAATACCTACATGTGCTTACATACATATGTACTACATGTAGCTTCAGTGCAGGTCCTAGATCCCGTTCATAAACCGAAGTCGAAGAACCAACCCCCAGAATTGGATGTCAAAAAATCAACAGGGGATTAAGATTAAGATCCAAGTGCTGGCCAATGATCCAAGACTTCCTCTAGTGCTAGGCATTTAGCGCTAAAACCACACACCCTACAATTTGGGATAGGACCAAGATTAGTTAGACAAGGGCTTGGTATTTTGTACAAACCTTTTCTTGTTCTATTATGCACATTTCCATGCCTAAAATACCAAAAATCATAAATGGAAATTTCCAGGAATCAGATTATTCTAATAATAACCAAGGGGTGAACATATCCTAACAATAATTTTGAGTAGGTTTGTTGGGATGCCCGTTGCGCCCACTAGCCCGCTCATAGGTAAGAACGATCCGCTTAACTAGTAGACATAGTTTAGGTAGTAGATACTAGTAGAATCTGATCAAGTTCTACTACTGATTGTTCTCAGTCTCATCCTAACCTTGAGCTGAGATGTCTAGAGTTTAGACCCTGCTCTAGTGTTATTATGCTCTACCCACTTAGGCACCTACCCTATCAAGAGTATCCTCAGTGCCCAATGCTTACTGTTCATCTATGGGATGTGATGTGTTCACTCTATATTCTATGGTTGACCCTCTTCACGGACGTTCTTGGACAGGATTCCGATTTCGAGTGATGTTTGATGACTGTATCATCTTAGCATCGAATATATAATGCCCGTTTTCTGTACAGTTGAATAGACAAACCACTGGAGAGATCTTGCCCACGGAGAATCGTAGATACATAAGTTCCAGCGGACTTGTACATGAGTGTATTGACTGAGTGTTGATAACCATATATATATTCAGGGGCGTTCTTTTCCAATAGTAATAGAATAAAAACGAAGGGGAAACTAACTACATGTACATGTATGGCCCATAAATTTTAGCATCGTGGCCAGAGCTTTGGTATCTGATGATCAAGCCTTTGGTATCATTATTCTGTTTGATTTCCTCAAGACACGGAATGTAGAGAAGAAATGAAGGGTATATTCTCAGCGAGGTATGGTCTTAGCCCATAAGCACTACATCTTCTATATCTATAGTGACTCCTGGTTTGAGAATCTCGGGTATAACGGGAAAGCGACCTTAAGAGTCATTGAATAGACGCTTGAGCCATCCTAGTCAAGTTGTTCGGCACGTCACCGAGTGCCGGTCGTGTCTAAGTACATGTAATAATAGGGGTTGGTTTCTAACGACTCTGAGAAGTAGCTAAATCATATGTAGATAACCGATTATGGCGATAATAATCGTCCCAATAAAATAGGTGAATGCGGCTTCGGGATAGGAGTACACTCCTGACAACCTAGTTCTATCTACAACTGCTCAATAGTTTTAGTTTTCGGGGCTTGAGCCGGCCTGGGGATAAAATTTAAGGAGTCTCAGCACCAGTACCGTCAACGTCAAAGATATACCGGTCTAGAAGCTTAACTTGCAATTAGTTCTCGGGGTGTCCTCGATCATACTAGGAGCTTTCTCAAAACACCAACTTAAGACCTCTAATATATCGCATAAAGAGCTTATTTATAGCCCTATCTATCAACGATTTCCAAAGTAATTAGAATTTGGAAGGTGGCACTTCATTAACTGTGCCCCGCGAAGTTTCAGGGATCACAGTGACTCAGTACATACTTCGTGGGGTCCAACCATACCACACCACTAGCTCAATTTGCGTGAGGGTTTAATATTCCTATGATAACGTGTTTCCCCCCCTTTCGTGTTCGCGTAAAGTGCTTCCACGGTATATAACCTCGCCGTCGCGTCGTCCACCAAAAACCTCGTTCATATTCACTACGCGCTTTGCAAGTACTAAATCCATAATACATACCACCGCCTAGCATGGTTTTTACAATCAATTATCTCTCCATTGCAAACGACAGCGGGTCCACCCCTGAGGGGATGGCGCTCATCGCCGACACCCATGGAAATACGTGGTTCTATATGATGTTTGCTGCTGATGTTCTTGTCGGTGTTTTCTGCCTTCAGGTAGGGGCTCTCCCCCTAGTACGGCATGATGCATCATTTAACACTCATCTCGATAGTTATTATACACCTTCAAAGTTCTTGTCACTCTCGCGAGCATCGAAACCCCTCCAGCAATCTCCCTCCCGCTCAACACCGACAATCGCAAGGCTTCAGACGTGCTAGGTATCAATGAGAGACAACAATATGTCACCAGCAGCATGCGTGGGACCATTAAGCACCTGCGTACACAGGCGGGATTCTTCAGTGCGTGGAGGGGCTACTGTGCAAGTTTCGTATATTACTTTGCGACGGGTTCGGTTGCAAATATCCTTCATAGTTTTCTGGGGACGTCCCTGCCGGCGAGTCTAGTTATCGGCGTATTGAGTATATTGTTTTTTGCTAGGTTTTCGTTGGCTGTGACACAGTAAGTATATCATCTCCTCTCTCTCTCACACTATGTCCGTCCTTGGCCAGTGGTGCAGTGTTGATGGGGGTGCTCTTTTATAGTATTATTATCTCCCGCCCCCAGCCTACATGGTGGTTTAAGCGTGTCCTTGCCACACCATGGTCCAGTGCACGCCAAACGCTGCCCGCAATGGCTCACTTTGCTCTCGCCCAGTGGGCATCGTATAAATTGCTTGCTATTGCGTCAAGCGGCGAGTCTAGTCTCCCGATTAGAGTGTCGATGTTTCTGCTGAGCTTTGTTGTGAACCTATTTGTTGTGCTGCCGTTGTGGGTTGTATTGGTAAGAGTGCAGGCATCGCTGCTTCCTGATACCGAAGAGGCGATTGTTAGCTTTGATAGGACGTTTGGAAAAGAGGTGACTGGTGCGTTGAGCTTCAAGGAGGCGGCCAGAAGTTTCAAGTGTAAGGGATGGCAGAGAATAATGATGTTGGTGGGGAAAATGGTGGTAATTATCGCTAGTATTGCGGCAGTGATGGCGTTGGCTCGCTTTGCTTTTCTAAGTTTTTTTATTAGGGATGCAGCTCTTCAGTAGACAGGTGCCCGGTAAACTGAGAAGGAGTGCAATTGAGAGGGGGCGGATGAGGTTGGGGTCGATCGTAAGGTCTCTACATATATATATGTATCTTTAGTTGTGACTAGGTAAATTAAAACGGATTCTTTGGGGATGTCTTATTTAACCTCAGAACTCCCTAGTTAGTTCCATGTTTGCTGGATGGATGCTCTCGGTCTGTAAATGTTGCTAGCGTAATAGACTTGGTGATGAGAACGCCTTTGGATGATGAGTTCTGGGGCTGGAATTGAATCTAGATGGAGAGTCAATTATCGAATCTGATAAGATCTTTGTGGGTTCAGAACTTCAGATTCGGACATGCGGGCCCTGTCTCAGTTTCACCACACGGCTGGAGACGGCAAGAGCCGCTCGGCATGTGCATGTGGGGGTGGACGTGGGCGTGGGGATAGCCGTGTGAGATCCGAGTAAACCGACCGTCTGTGGGTGAAGCAGAGTCTTGGACTGTGATTTCAGAGAGCTGTGGAGTTGAAGCTGGGTCAATACACTCTACATACCCATCCTGCCATAAGGTGCTTGCTCTACCGCACGTTAACTGAAGCGTAAACAACATCATGGTATATCCGATAATGCAATTGCTGTGAATCCTATCTCAGGTTTCGTGGATTTCGTGGAGGTACAGTTGAACTCCTAACTTAATAATGAAAGCAAGATCTATGACGTCCCACAACCGTGTGTCGTCCCTGTCCAGGCCTGTGACAGCAACAACACAGCTAGACATGCAGCTTAACTAAACACAGTAACTGCCGAGGCACCGAGGTGAGGGTCCCACACCTTCCCCAGACCCCTTCAGCGGCCAATCGTAGACCCCCCATTATCACTTTTCGCGGGGAGTCCGAGACCTTTGCGGGGAACGAAAGCAAACCCATATCCTAACATGTGAAATCCCCCATCCCGTGAGTGAGTGAATGACATAATGGTTGTTACCACCTGACTTTGAGTGAGATCGAGTGGTCCAGAAGTGCTAGAGTTGCCCTTTTCACATGCCTTACTCCCGGTCGTCCGCTGCCTCTTTATTGCATCTGTTCTCTCTCTCTTCTTCTTCCCTCCTCCTCCTCTTCTCGATACTGCACCATCATTACAAGAACTACCACAGGATCAAATATATACTAGCAACCATGTCAAAGACCTTCAAGCTGTCCGAGGTAGCAGAGCACAAGAAGCCTGACTCGCTGTGGATCGTTGTCGAGGGTGATGTATACGATGTCACAAAGGTTTGCCTTACCTGCCTACCCACTCGCTCACTAACTCGCCGCCAACGCGTAAAGGAAAATAAAGTCAATCAAAGTAAACAAAACTAACGCGCCATAACTTGATAGTTCGCAGATGAGCATCCCGGAGGAAAGAAGATCCTCCAGCGAGTTGGCGGCAAAGATGCAACCGCCCAGTTCTGGAAATACCATAATGAGGCCATCCTCAAGAAGTACAAGCCCAAGCTTTTGATCGGTTCATTAGAGGGTAAGGCTGCGCCCGAGCCTCCCAAGGAAGAGCCCAAGCCCGCCGAATCCAAGGTCGCAGAGCCAGCGAAAGTTGAAGAGCAGGCGCTCGTACCTATGAAATCTGGCCCTGTCGCACCTGCCCCAGCAGAGGAGAACCTGAAGGAAGCTTTGGAACCATGGGGTGACATGATCCCCTACGGCGATCCAGCCTGGTACCAAGGTTACCACTCACCCTACTACAACGAGTCGCATGCCGCCCTTAGGACGGAGGTCAGGGCTTGGGTGGAAGAAAAGATTGAGCCTTACCTCAACGAGTGGGAGAAGGCCAAGTTTGTACCGGTTGAGATTTACCAACAGATGGGACAGCGCGGATACCTTGCGGGGTATGTACCCCCAACCCCCAACCCCAACCCCAGTTCCTCGCATGACAGGTTACTAATATTCCTTTTTTTGCAGTCTCCTCGGTCTCCACTATCCCGTAGAGTATACCCCCTACAGGATCGCTGCTGTACCACCTGAGAAATGGGATCTCTTCCACGAGTTCGTTGTCACCGACGAAATTTCACGCACTGGATCTGGTGGTTTTGTCTGGAACATGATTGGGGGGTACGCCATTGGTCTACCTCCCGTTATGAAATTCGCCAAAAAAGAACTCAAAGACCGCATTGTCCCTGGTATCCTCAAGGGTGAAAAGCGTATCTGCTTATGTATCACTGAGCCCGATGCGGGCTCTGACGTTGCGAATCTTACTTGCGAGGCCAAGAAGACTCCCGACGGCAAGCACTACATTGTCAATGGCGAGAAGAAGTGGATCACCAACGGTGTCTGGTCCGATTACTTCACTGTAGCCGTGCGTACAGGCGGACCCGGAATGGGCGGTGTTTCTGTCCTCCTCATTGAGCGCAGCGAGGGCGTCACAACCCGCGAAATGGACTGCCAGGGAGTTCACGGATCAGGAACTACATACGTTACATTCGAGGACGTTAAGGTTCCCGTCGAGAACCTTATCGGCAAGGAAAATGCTGGCTTCAAGGTCATCATGACAAACTTCAACCACGAGCGTATTGGAATCATCATCCAGTGCACGCGCTTCTCGCGTGTCTGCTATGAGGAAGCAATGAAGTACGCTAATAAGCGCCGAACATTCGGGAAGAAGCTCATTGAGCACCCCGTCATCCGCATGAAACTCGCAAACATGGCAAGACAGGTAGAGGCTACACACAACTGGCTAGAGAACATCATTTACCAGTGCATGAAAATGGGAGAAACCGAGGCGATGTTTAAGCTTGGTGGTGCTATTGCTGGGCTCAAGGCGCAGGCGACAGTCACCTTTGAGTTCTGTGCGCGCGAGGCAGTCCAGATCTTTGGCGGTATTGGATACACCAAGGGTGGTCAGGGTGCTAAGGTAGAGAGGCTGTATAGGGACGTCAGAGGTTATGCCATTCCCGGAGGCAGCGAGGAAATTATGTTGGATCTTAGCATCAGGCAGTCCATGAAGGTGCACCAAGCGTTGGGAATGAAGTTGTAGTTTTAGGGGCGTGCTGTCTTTTCTTTTTGCTTATTTTTTGTAACTGATCATTGCGGGAGTTTTGTTTTATCTCTGGTTATGCCGCTGTGCGCGGCCCTGTGTTTGATTAGAGAGGCGAATATCATGATACAAATAAGAGAATGTATTTACTGTTCGGTATGTGAGGAAATTCCACGATATATCAAGACTGCCTTATGCTGCTCCCAGGGATATTAGTCAAGTAGTTGTGATGACAGTTACTCGAGTTGGCGTAGATATGGTTATCCAAAGGATCTGCCAACATCATGCTACTATTGCTAGTGAGCCCATGCCCAGCTCATAATCTTGTATAGGATACCACGCGATTGTGTACTGAATAAAAGTTTTTAACGAGGAAGTGATGTATGTGAGCGGGATAGGATTCGAACCACTTCAGTCGACCAACCTTGTCACAAAATAAAACTAGTTTCGAATTGAATATATAATGTCCTAGTACAACGGCCTATGGTATGGAGCGGTAAATTATGGAGCGGTAAATGTGTCAAAAGTAATTTTACCACCGGTGGTGAAAATAATACCGTCGTTTATACCTTATAATGGATAAAAGTACAGACCTTTTGGCCAAAAGGGGCTAAATAATACCAATGTATATGGAGCGGTAAATGTGTCAAAAGTAATTTTACCAACAGTAGTAAATCGTTTTACCACCGGTGGTGAAAATAATGCCATCACTTATACCTTATAATGGATAAAAGCACAGACCTTTTGGCCAAAAGGGGCTATATAATGCCAATTTATGAGTCCTATTGTCCACCAGTGGGGAATTCACCATTGGTGACAGGTATTTTTACCACCAGTGGCAGGTATTTCACAACTGGCGGGAAACTTTCATAAGAGTTGGCATTAATGATTGAACATCTACTAATGAAGTATAGAGCAGCATAAAGATTGAAATTCAGTGTTTATACTGGCACAAGGACTGAAATCTTTATGCTGCTCTATACTTCATTAGTAGATGTTCAATCATTAATGCCAACTCTTATGAAAGTTTCCCGCCAGTGGTGAAATACCTGCCACTGGTGGTAAAAATACCTGTCACCAATGGTGAATTCCCCACTGGTGGACAATAGGACTCATAAATTGGCATTATATAGCCCCTTTTGGCCAAAAGGTCTGTGCTTTTATCCATTATAAGGTATAAGTGATGGCATTATTTTCACCACCGGTGGTAAAACGATTTACTACTGTTGGTAAAATTACTTTTGACACATTTACCGCTCCATAGGCCACGAGGTACGACGTCAATGAAAAATCACATCACCCCATAATTGAGATAGAGACATATGACGCGCGCAGAATAAAAAATTACATGTAGCCTTCCTTTTTTTTCTCTCAGTCGAGTGATATGCTGTGTGTATTGGGTTAGTTAGGGTTTCAGTGTACTCTAGAGAGGGTATTTACACCCGACCGCCCGAGGAAAACTTCCTTTTCTTGAGACAGTAAATATTTAGGGGCCAAACTTGTGGTTTTCCGTGGTGAGAGCGGCCGGCCGTTATAACTACAGGTTTTGGAAAGCTGTAAAGTCAGGCCATGATCGAAGATGAGGATGCAAGAAATTGCCTATCCCTTCGTCCGTTCCCGCAATTCACAACTTTTGCCGAAGAAACGGCGTGATATTCAGTAACGGCTTTCCCCGCGAGAATTAGTTAGGCGTCAATCATAATCTGTCACTCGCTCCGGTATCGTAGATTCATTGGAGCCCCCCCCCTTTCAGCTCCCAGAACAAACGAGTCTTAAAAATCACCGCTGAGAAGGGTGATAGGAGATTATTATAAATGACCAGATCATGGCCGTGGCGGTGAGACTTGTGTATAGCCTACGTGTACTTCCGGCCCGTAATCAAAAGATTTCTTATAATATTGACAACTGTCTGGATCTCATGAGGGAGTGGAGGAGGAAGGAAACGTCGAGTCCTATTGGCGACTATAATTGCATACATATATAGGATTAAGTTCCGTCGACTTTACTAGGCAAAGACGAACACAATTTCAATCTTGCTGTTGATGTACAGTCTCAGAAATAGCCAACACCGTCTAGTGCTATTAGCCAGCAGTCTGTTATTATGGCCAGTACCCCTAGCACTCTCCAGACGATCCCCTTGGGAATAAACAACTTTTCGGCGGGTTTAGATGTACCTACATGTATGTCCTCTGCGTATTCGTATGCAGTGTGATATGTGGCTTGTTCCGTACTAATCGCGACGTTGTTAGCCCCTTGATTGCTCGAGAGGGAGACCACTACATGTACTAACCGAAACCTTAAATTCTCGGAACATCGGCACCCAGCTTTAACCCCGTGTTCACTTCTAGCTAACAGTTCGACACATCCACCCCACCCCAATTTCTCTAACCGACAATCCTACAGATAACATGAAGTCTTCAGTTCTCCAAAATACTTTCTGTTCAAGTTACGCGTACGACCTGCTGCTGAGCCACGGGGTCAACCAAAGACATAGTAAGAAATCGCCCTCCTTAGCTATTACGTATATACATACTTAAATCCCCTGGCTAAAATACAATCTCAAGACTACAGCTACATTTAGGGCTACGAATAATTTAGATGAGCTATAAAAAGGCAAATTCCGAGACATGTTGGTGTTGGTGATCAAATATCAGCCTGAGAGAGTCAGTACTTTGGCTGCCAACATCCATGTCCGTCACCCCTAGGGCAACTGGGACAACTTTATATAGAATCCCGAGGTCTCGAGGGTTTCCAAATAAGACAGTGAAGCCCCGCACAAATAACGACCCGGTAATATTCTAGACCTGGGTCTTTATCGTTAGTAACCCAATGTACCCTGACATTACAATAGCAGGTACGTACGTACATGTGCTCGTTCATGTTTATGTATAAATACACTGCGAAAACGTGGCATTACAATCTCGAACTCCCCATGATGACGAGTACTCGAGATTGTATCAAGGAATTTTCCTAAAAGAAATCAAAATTCCTATCCCCCCGCCTACCCTGGCCCTCACCACATGGTACTCAAGGAACAGGGCCCTCAGGGGAAAATGGCAATCCCCCGGAACGGCACGGCAAATCGAAATAAACCAGGAGTAAATCCCGGGGCAGGAGATCCGAAATCGTCTATCTCTCTCATTTAGTGGTATATCTAGCGAAGTGCATGGCCCTCGTTTATTTTATATTAACTGCAACCCCCTGGAAGACGATGCTTGTCTGCGCGGGACCTCCGTATCACGGGCGTTGCGGGGTCTTATGGAAAGTTCCGAGCTCATGTGCGTAAGTACGGGTACTAGTATTTCTCTGACGTTTTTGAACTGGGCCATTATTGCATACACCCAAAATCATGAGCTTGGCGTATTTTTGTATGGCATGCAATATCAGTCGCGTCCACAAACGTCAGAGAAATACGAGTAGAGTATGTAGATACATACATGTACATACAGGTATGTTGGATGGGCCCGGATATGCAAGACTTCGGTTTCATGTTTATCTTGCATGCGCAAAGAACTGACTAGTGGGTAGTTTTTTTTTTGGTTGGAGCATTGGTTCCTATCTGTTTGTGGGGGAGCTTATTCTACTTGATGAGGCGTGTACATGCCAGTCAGTTATAACGGTTTATTCCCCCCTGATTATATGATTATATAGAGGAATGAATGGCTACATTGAACTTCATGTATGTACTCAAGCACATGTATTACATGTATGTAGATACAGACATGGGTTCACACGTGCAGTTACACTAGCGGCCTCGGCAAAATTTCGGAAAGCAAACAATAACAGTAATATGAAAATGGGGCGAAGTCACTTCTGTTAGTACTATAGTATACGTACAGTACTCGGGTGGAGGTATGTAATTTAATTGAAGGGCCCGTGTTCATGAAATATCACTCGATCTAAATAGTTCCTCAAAACTGCATAACGCAAATGAATAAGTCCAATTTGTATTAAATGAGGCATATGTATGTATAAGTATCATATAGAGAACCTCTATGAGAGTCGTCGCGGTGCAAACTGCATGAGCGTACGTAACACGATTCAGCGGTAACATAGCTGAACCGGGTCAAGTAAACCTGTCCTGTTTTCAGACCTGTATAAAAACAGACTTCGTAACCTAGACCAATACATAATCATCTCATCCATCATCGACCTGCGCATCACTGATAGTTGAGACCTTGATCAGGAACAGCCTGAAATCGACGTCCATGTTGGTGATCAATAATACATAAAAAAATAAGAAAATTCGTCGGCATGGCCGGTCACTGCCGCTATCAGTAATGACCTGAAAGAGTGCGGTCCCATTGAACTTGGCAACAAACACAAGTCCTGCATACAATCATCCTTAAACCCGAACGCCTAATTTTCTGAGAAAAATCTCGGCCGAAGAAAATTCCATATAGGGTGATATTTCATTTCTTCCGCTTTTTCCTCTTTGCCGCCGCCGCTTCCTCCTCTTCCTCCTCCTCATCGCTACTGCTCTCCCACCAGCTGACCCAATTACTCATACTCCCTGCACTCGCCCTGCTAAACCCTGCAAAGCTGGGCACAGGGGCCCCCAGAGCCGGCTCTGAAACCGCCTTATTCTCTGTTATCGGCCGTATCTTCTTCTTCCTTAGCTTATTTGATATCGACAGCGGCCTCGGCACCGCCATTATCGTATCCCTAAACGGCCGTTTCCCCCTGGTAGGAACCGGTGGTGGATTTAAATCCAGCGACGTAATTGACGGCGAGCGATACGCCGAAAACGGAACTGGTGAGAAAGGCCCAGGGGTAGACGGCTGCGACGACACAGGAACTCCCTGATACGTGACCGGCGACGACGTCGGCCCACACAGGCTGGGCGTGGGTGGTACATTGGCGCTGCTGACAGTCCGTGTGGGGTGATCGTTATCCCACGCTATAACCCTATTACTATATGTACTGTCACCTGAGCCCAGGCGGCGGTGCGATGCGCTATTACTCGGGCTGTGGAACCGGTTTAGCATGGTTCCCAGCGGGCTCCCTACTACTACGTTCCCGGGGAGAGTGGCATCGGGTTTTGGTTGCGATACAGTCTGCATGGGGAGCGTGGTGGAGTCGGGGCGTGGGGCGTCGCCGAAATGGCTGGTGTGGTCTATGTCATGCATTTGCACGGAGAGTGTGTGCTCGGTGATGGAGCGGTTGCGTTTCCAGCGCTTGAAGTAGCAGACGGCGAGAAAGGAAAGGACAGTCAATACTACCACGCCGGTGATGATCACGGCAATGAAGATGGAGCGACTGAGGCCGGCTATGTGGGGCTTGCTGGTAGAATCTGGCGGTGGGGGGCCGGAGGAGCTGGGGGCGGGGGGATGAGGGTGTTTATGGGGGCCGGGGATCCGCTGGGGCTTGGGCCGTTAGAGTTCTGTCTAGCATGGAGGGGGTTTTCGGCGTTTGTGAGGGTTTGTGAGATTGAGAGGAAACATGACGCTCCGTTTAAGCCAATCCATTGTGAGCGGGTTGTGGCAGGCGGTGGCATGCGAGTGGTGAAAACACGGTGGATGGGGGACTCTGAACCGCAATTCAGGGCCGGTATCTGGGTTTTGATATGATTCTCGAGGTATTCTCAAACGATAGGTGATTGTAATGGACCAGAAAAATTGTAATTGTGGAGGATGGAGTAACGCTATATCGAGGAAGGAAAACAGCACCCATGGTCGCTTTAAGAGATACTGCTTCTAAAGGCGATATGGTTATTCGCATCCTTGCAAGATAGCTACGCAATATTGGGGGCAAGGGAAATTATATAGGCCAAGGCAAGTAGTAATTGCATGTATATGATATAGTATATAGCAATGCAGCCAGCGCCTTTAATGGCTGAAGGGCACAATCCGACGATTCCGATCTCAAGAACGCACATATATACATGCAGGTAGAGTAGGGTAGGGTAGGTACGTATTCCCGCTTAAGATGAAATCAGTTCCAGATGTAGCGTATAGATGAGGAGCGAGGGCATGAGTGAGGCGATTAGAATATTCTGTTGCATGAAACCCAAAACAGAGGCAGGAACTTAAGTCCAGGCTTGTTTGTAGGCTGCGTGCGTGGTGGCACAAGAAAGAGAAGAAACAGTTAAAGTGGGGTTGGCTAAAATATACATGAAACATTTTGACAGTTCTGGACAGGGGGGTGATCCAACACAGGCTAGAGACGGTCCCTCTCTTCGCTTTCTCACAGTAGCTGAGACGGTGACAGGGGGTGCATGTGTGCTGTAGCAGCTGCTGCTGCTGGAAGAATTATACATACATACTTGTTTTGGGGGTGGCTCCCCCACAAAGCTTCCTTGTCGGCGCCGGTGGCCTTTATCCAAGGGAACGTCAGTTTGGGTTCTGGAAGATCTGTGGACAGGTGAAACCATGTCGTATGTGCGAGTCTGGATTTGCAAGAGGGTATATTGCGAGCGGTTCTGTGTGTGGTAGAGAGTCTATGATTTTATCTTCAGACTCTCCTGGGACTGTTATATAATGAGACAATTATATGAATAGAGCCACATCTTTTCAAAACCACCCGCACTAAGGAAACTAGAGCTGCGCTGCGCTAGCCACATGGAGTAAAAACCCTGAAGTGCCATGCCGAGTTAAAACACCTACGTACGTAGTACACACAAGAGCTCTGACTCGTAAGTGAGTAAGTAGGATTGGGGATGATGTCAATGCTCTGTGAATGTCGTAGAGTCGAGCCCGACTCGGGACTACTCTACTCCATGAGATCTGACTCGAGAATAATAACTACATGTAAGTAATGCCTGGAGTTTTTATGCCTAGGCCTGCTTAACCCCGAAGTAAATTCCAACAAGCAACAGCTATGGAGATGTCCCTCCAAACCGAAAGCTTCTATTCGTAGCCGCTATTAGTTCGTAGACCCTAACAATTACGACCAACGTGGCTAGCCCAATCAACTACTGTGCCGTTGCCAAGAGAATAGTTATATTACGCTACCCTAACCCAGTAACAAAGGACTGTGCGCGAAATAATATCTGGCTTGCTATTATTCTCACCACCAGATCTGCAAACAATCAACGGAATAAATTTCTCTACCGCCGTTGAGGCTGAAGCTCCTTCCCCCCAGGCCCTAGGCCCTTCCCGGGAAGAAGACGATCGTGTTCCGGGGGTTAATTGGGGCCAGTGCTTAGGCGAAAAGGATCTACCCGTATCTTCCGACAAGATGATCTACAGAAAAGAGACGAATGGCCGCGAAAGCTCCGAGTGTGTTTTTTTGTTTTTATGTGCGGCAGCGGCGTTGGGAGGGAAGTGTAGGAGTGGACGGAAATAGAACTGGCAGGGGGGCAGAGATGATGGGGGAGATCGAGAGTAAATGCAGTGTACTCTACTCTCTTTGTTATATTGGAATATATATGGAAAAGGGTTATTTGACGAAATGAGATTTCAGGGGAGGGTATCTATGTAATTGAGTATTTCCCCAATCCGATACAATTCCAATCCAATATCAAAGAGTCAACAACGACTCGTAATAGTGTACGTACGTACGTGGACGACACGAAACCAAAGCAAATGACTGAAAACCAGAAACTCCAAGTTCCCCCCGCAAAAAAGCAGAAAAAAGAATAAAAAGATACGTCTAAGCTAGCTATAGTCTAAGCTAATTTACTGTAAAGCTACTACCTCCGTTCCTTCTTCTTTGGTACTCCTGCTCTTCTAAGCTTGCCTTTATCACATAATCCATCACTATCTTTTCCTCGGCGATCCGTTTCGCCTCTTTCTCTTCATCAAGTATCCTGCTTTCCTCAATGGCTTTCAATAAGTCCTCATCACGCTCGTCGGTGCTACCCTGCGGCATCTTGTCGTATCTCCTGCTTTCTCTAAGTGCTCTTTGTAGCTCGTTTTCATCGTCTTCTCCGGCCCCCTCGGCGAACATCTCACTTTCTCTGAGGGCCCGTTCGAATTCGGCTTCGTCTTGCATTATGTGGCCACCTCTCTCGACCAGACTTTGCTTCAACGCTTCTTCAAGCTCTAGATCACGATCTGCCGCTACCATACCAGTCTCTTTGTCATAGGATTCCCATACATCTACTCCACCACTTCTTCCCCATCCTCCTCCTCCTGCAGCATTGAATCTGCTAGTCTCGGCCATCGAGGCCCTAATAGCGCGCTGGTAGGCTTCTTCCTCCTCATCCGAGGTCTGCGTAGGATTGTTCCGTGCCACATTCTGCATCTCCGCAACACTAGTCCTGATCGCCGCCTCCACGGCCGCATCATGCTGTGCATTCCCCTGCGATGTCACGCGGACCGATTCCTGGATAGCCCTCTCCAGCTCATCATCATCGTAAGACGCAACCTGCTGCAATACACCGGGCGTATACGGCGCAGCCTCTTGAGTGATTTCTGTCGTGGGCGAGCTGATCGCCATCGTTGGCGTCTCCACCGAATTATAGGGGTAGTGTGGGAGGGACTCGTTAGTCTTTTTGCGCTCTTTGCCCTTTCCCTTCCTGACGCCGTTGAAGACGTCCTTCATGGGTCGCTTGGGCTCGATCCGTACTGTGGCCCATTTGGCGAGGGCGGCCTTCTGCTCAGAGAGACTGCTCTGGTGCAGTTCTGCTTCGGAGATGGCGATGCGGGAGCTGAGGATGTGTTTGTCGGCGTCCGAGACCTGAAGCTTTTGGATCTCGCGGTGGATGCCTTTCATTGTGTAGCCCGGGATACCCCAGAATGCTTTTGAACAGTGTTAGTAGGTGGTGTTTCCAAAAAAGATTACTGGTAATGTATAATTGGGGAGATTTTACCTGCTCCGCCTTTGAGGAAGACTCCGCCGACCCCCTTGCCAAAGCCTTTGACCAGGCCCACAGCCCCGTCCTCTTTTGCGCCTTTGATGGGTTGCGTGACGAGGCCGGAAATGCCGTCGTAGAGACCGAGTGAGAGTTCTTTTCCGGCGGCCTTGAGGCCGCTTTGGAAGCCGGTGACTTTGCTGACCTCGCGGACGTTGTCGCCGTACAGTCTTGGTGCGTTATGGAAGCCCTGAGCAAGGCCGAGGGCGAAGTCCATTGGTGCTGTAATATGTTAGCTTTTGATTCAGTTATTCGAAGCAACCGAGTGAGGATTGAATATACATTTTAGTCCTGCCTCTACGATCCTAGAAACACCTTTTCCGGCGCCCAGAGCCATCTCCATACTAAAGCTATTCCCACTTCCCTGACTATCACCGGTGGCTACTCGGCCCAGCGGACCCCTCGGCTGTGACGAGCCCGGGCCGCTCATAGACTTTTCTGTCGAGCCCGGGCCGCTCATGGACTTTTCTGTCGAGCCCGGGCCGCTCATGGACTTTGGTGTCGAGGTCCCACTCAGCGAAGTATCACTCCTGTACCCCTTCTCGCCCAACATACCACCGGCGGTCGAGGACTCGCCGTTCGGCGGCGAAGAGTCGCCTGCCTTTTTCACAACCTTGAAGATCTCCCGCGGGAAGTCTCCGACCCCCATCATGACGCTCCCGATCGTGCCGAGCAGCGCGCCCGCGGCACCCGAAAACGGCTCATAAGGGCCCACATCCGTCTGCCACTCCTTATGCCGACACAGCTTCAACCCGCCCCAGCCCCCCTCAACCAGCCCATTCGACACCAGCAGCGCGGCCGCAAACGCGCTCAGCGGCGCATCATTCTTCCGCAGCCGCCACACCGCAGGCCGCGACTGGTCAAGGATACACCTATACACGCCGCCACTGCCACCGCTTCCCGCCAACCCCGCCAGGAATGTCTTTGCGCCGACCTCCGCGCCCGCCTCGTGACGTATGCGCTCACCCAGCTCCCTCGCGCGCACGCCCACCTCCTCGCTCAGCGCCGTCTGTATGCTCTCAGCCAGGATCTCGGCCGTCAGCTTCTTGAACGGCACGGGCTCGGGCCCTGCGCCCGCGCGCGCGACCATGGACCCCCAGAAGGGCTGGTCTCCGAAGAAGGGGACGATGACGGTGGGCTTTCCGCAGCGGATGCCGGCGGCGGTGGTGCCGGCGCCGCCGTGGTGGACGACGGCCGCGCACCGCGGGAACAGCCAGTCGTGCGGACAGTTGCCGAGGAGCATGACGTTGGGCGGGGGCGCCATGTCAGCGCCGCCGAGGCCGCCCCAGCCCTGCGAGACGAGGGCGCGGACGTTGAGCGTGCGCAGGGCCGTGAAGAGGAGGGTTGTGAGTGCGTTGGGGTCGTCGACGACGATGGAGCCGAAGCCGATGTAGACCGGGGGTGGGCCAGCGGCGATGAAGGCGGAGAGATCAGGTGGGGGCGTGTAGCTGGAGGCGAGGGAGAGGAAGGAGAAGCCACTAATGGAGATCTGGGAGGGCCAGTCGAGGGGCTTGGGGATCAGGGTGGGGGACCAGATGTAGGTGTGTGGGACTGCCAGGCGGGAGATCATGCCCGGGGCCCACATGGTGCTTATTGGGTCGAGGCCGAGCTTGGTTTCGCGGAAGCGGTTGACGAGGTCGCCAAGGCTGCGGAGAGTTAGTTATGTTTATTTGGGGGCGGGCATGTGGCCGAGTGATGGACTGTGATGCGGAGACTTACCCTTGCCAAGTCATCATGTCGACGAGAACATAGCTGAGATAGTTTGTGACGCCGCTCTCCGCATTAGAGCTCTGGATATTTGCGAGCGGATGTGGGAAGGCAGTCGTTGGTGACCACGGCATTCTAAATCCCACATATCAATCATTAGCCCACCAATCCCAAGCAAGTAGAGTCATCGTAAATAGTAAAAGTAATAAGTAAAACATACGTAAACATCAGATGCAGCGGTATTCCCAGCTTCTCGGCGCAATGGACATGCCCGAAACTGGGCGGATTGGCAATGATCGCATCGGCGACAAAGGGCCTATTCGCCGCCGGGTCTCCGCAGCCCTCGGGAGTGCCGTCGCCTGGCTCGATACCTAAAATCCCGTGAGCCTCCGTCTTAAATGGTAATAAAAAAAAAGGGGGGGGGGGGGAGGTTCCGCACATGCTCTCCACCCGCCTAGTAGTATCTCCCACATGCCCTTTCTGCGCTTCGATACGTCCCCGCTACGCAGACTATCCATACCAGGCATCAACCCCGGATTCTTGACCATAAACGCCATCTACCCCCACACCACATTAGCCCCCTCCTCCCTCCTCCCCACAACCCGGAAAAAGAAAAACTCACCAACTCCGCCGGATCCCCGCCAATCGAATAAAACTCCAACCCATTCTCGACGACAAACTTCTTAAACGTCGGGTGCGTCGCGACCCTTACCCTATGGCCGTACTGGTTCTTGAGCACCTGGCCCAGCGCAACAAACGGCTGCACGTCGCCCCGGCTGCCAATGATCTGGATGACGATGTTGAGCGGCGGCACGTCGCGCGCGAACTCGGGGACGCCGAAGATGGCGCTGGTGGGCTTCTCGGCGCGCGCACGGGAGGCGGCCTTTTCGGCGAGTTGCAGCTGCGTGCGCATCGCCGGCGCGAGCAGCATCGACAGGTGCCCGGACTTTTCGTGGATGTTGATGTTGATGCGGCCATCCTCTGCGGGCGGGGTTAACGGGGAGAAGAAGGGGGGGTGGGGTGGGGAGGGGACGGACCAGAGAGCTGCGCATGCGTCGACATGCCGTCCTGCGTGATGTCCAGCTCGCCATAGGTCTCCGTGTATGCGGGCGGCGGCTGGTCGCCGGGGCCGCCGTAGTCGGGGGTTTGTGCGAGGTCGTAGTTGCGGTCTTCATCGGCACTGGGGCGGCCGTTGGGGCCGATTGTGGGGCCGGCGGGGGTGGAGGAGTTAATGGAGGGGAGGGAGACGTAGGAGGGGGGTGAGAATGAGGGTTCTGGTGGGGACTGCTGGTAGTGTGGGGGGATTGGCGGTGGGGGCGGCGGGGGCGGCGGAGGTGGAGTGTAGTGGCCCTCTCTGTCGGGGCGGTAGGGGCGCTTTTCGTCGGACATGGTGGTGGTGGGAGGGGAGTTAGCTTGGGTGCTTGCTTGCCTTGCTTGGGAGCTGTAGTGTTTAAGGATATATTTGTGGTGTAGTGTAACAGTACTGGAAGCACTGGTTTATATCAGCTCCAAGAATATGCGCAGATGGAAGCATGAAAAGAGTTCTGACTGTGTCCCCCATTAATTGCAAGCGGCGACAGCAGCTCTTTTGAGTATTTGTAGCTCCGTGTCGCTCTGTGTCCTGCGCCTGCTCTTCACCCCCGCCGAACAGCCCAAACAGGGTTCCTACTGTGACGAAACGAATACGAATACATACTAGCCTGCAGGGTAGTTGTGGGTACGCGTGGCTATCGTGGCTGTGCAGATCACTAAAACGTCATCTAGGGGTGTCCTGATAAGATAAGATTAGCGAAAATCGCTACAGGATGCGAGTGGGAAGCTATGATGCAAACCCGAATACGGGCTCCGAAACACCGGGGGGAAGCGAATACCGCAATTGATGTTTTTGGCAGGGGGGATATGAAATAGGTACTGGTCTGTGCTGGTATGTGCTTCCAAGGAAGCTTAAAAATCGGATATTGCGAAGATTGAGAAAGGAAAAGTGGTGTTGGGTTTCAGCTGGATCATGGAGTATGTACTCCTTAAGTCGCTAACATCCCACGATGGACAGACGTTGAGGTGAAATCCCCAGAAGCCACGTAAGAGCTAGAGCTCGTATTAATATATCCCGATGGCTGAGTACCGCTGAGCACCGACCGACCGACCGACCGACCGACAGGTCCGACACTTTGAATTCCTGTCACAGCCTAGATGCAGGTAGAGTACATGTACGTACGCGCGTGCCCACAGTCACTCATGGGATGTCACGCGGAATACGTGACATGTCGTGCTTCAGGTTACGGATGTCACAGCTGCGGACGTGACAAAACCGTGAAACGATTAAACACATATAAACAAAGTGTACATGTAGCCTTCTGGTAAGGTGGTCTTTGTAACGATGTCCACAGTCTAGCCTAACAGGTAGACGTGTCACCTTTATATGTATAAGTATATAAGTAGATACTTGTACATGGGCATTCATCCTCCTTCGTGATTGAACCATCCGTCCCCATTACCTATTGGGTCTTCTTCCTACACTTCTTCTTGATTATACCCCTCTCCTGATTCTCCCTTTCTTTGAATTCAACCTCCTCGTCGATTCGGATTATTAGGTTCTGACGAATGCCTTAGTTACACTAACTGCCCTATTGGGGAACAAGGGTTTTGACGGTTCATAACCGGTGTCACTAATCGCATTTGTAAGTACCCTCAATGTTTCAACATACACAGCTCGAGATCTACATTCTGACATTTCCATACAAAAGCAATTCGTACATGTATGTACCTACATGGTCTCACCACAAGACCCGGGCTAGCTCCACGAACATTTCAATGCTTTTTTTCTTTACAAACATCCATTTTTTTGTTTTTCTACTGTCCCCTAACCCGAAAAGGTACTGGGTGAGAACAAACAGGCATGACAATGTTTAACATTCAAATTGGGTAAGGGTTTCGATCACTCTGCAACTACATACATGTAAGTACATACATCACCTTTGTCAACCACTTTTTTTTCTTTCCCCAAAAAGCTTAATTGGTCCCCCCAGCAAGCCATCACGATCACATGAGTGTAACAATACACTGCTTTAAAAAAAAAATGCAAGCCTCGTTGAAAAGACAAATTTTTTTCTCCCCTGGCCCCCTGGACTTTACGATCCTGCTATACAACTGTCGATGTTCCTAAGCGTACCTGCCTGCCTGCCTGACCCTCTATCTTTATGTACTCTCCCGAGCACCAGGAAACAAACATACTGACAGGGCCGAATCGAGGACCGAGGGTTGGTTTGTAAACATAGCTGACCGATCGGTCGCATTGGAGTATCTATGTATGCGGAGTACCTACATACCGCAGCCTTCCTGACAGGAATCACTTATTTCCGATTCCGATGCTGGACACTGTTCCTTTTTCTTTTGTTTCTTTTATTTCTTTCTTCGGCCGTTAAAATCGATCGTGGGATATCAACCAGCCCTGTCGTTTCCCGATGCGACGGACGGGTTGTGGATTTCGAAGTGAGCTGGATATCGATATCGTGATTGCTTGGACGGCCGTGGCTGCTGCTGCTGCTGTACCTACCTACATACTTTTACAATGTCGTGGAATGCATCTGATCTGAAGCCTACACACAGGCCAGGCTCATTGCGTTTGAAAAAGAAGTAGCAAACCAGGTCATGAGGATTAACAGCGTTTTTCCCCACTCGATGTACGATCGTGAAACTGCGAACACGAGCGAGGATTACGAGATGCCATTACAGTGCGTGGGGCTGCACCGGACGGGTTGCTTGCTTGCTTCTCTGAGCTGTTACTGACCAGATAGAGCGCCTATAGCTGGGTAGATGGGTGCCGTGCATCATCGTTCGATGCCGCATCTCGCACAGGAACACTCGTTTTTTGCCCTTTGTGCTGGGTACGTACTACTGTTTGTTGTTATTGTGCTATACTTGGACGAAGACGCGGGCTGAGAGAAAGAATTCGAAAGAAAGAAGGAAAGAAAGGGGGTAAACGCTGTAGAGAGCGGGCTAAAAACATCATCGAATAGAATTACAATGCTTAACGAGACCTATTCTCGACACTGGGTATACCGGTGCTGTGCGGTGCTGTGCGGTGCTGTGCGGTGTGGTCGGGGTCGGGGGTCGGGGTCGGATATACATCGAATCCCTCACACGTATCCTATCCCGCGCATGTTTCTCATTCCCATTCTCAGGCAGGTATGTAAATCATCCTCAAACAACACCCAAACAAAACAAAAAAACCCAAAACCTCAGGCATCAGCGCACATGATGTTTCAACCTCGTTGTCAATGTCAGTGTTAGCTGTCTTGTCTCACGACGTTGCACCAAAAAACAAAAAACAAAAAAATAAATTGATTTTCTCCGAAAAACATAAGAGTCGGAGTCGAATCGGGTGACATGGGTGAGGTGTGTGTCTTAGATTTGAATACCTCGGGGCGTTTTGCGGCCTTGGAATCAACTTGGTGGGAAGAGTCGGTCGTGGAGAGTCAGGGCCGGGGGGGGGGGGGGGGAAGTCCTGATTAGCATTCTTACTTTAATTTGATCCTACTACTACGGAAACATTTTTAATTTTTTTTGCACTTAGGCCGAGTTATCGTACAACCTACCGTACTCTATACCCAGCTACCCCAGGCTTTCTGTATCTGTATGCGAGAGAAAGGGGCGGGGGAGGATTCTAGAGACTAGGTAGGCGGTCAATAGGATTTCGAGAAATCTTCAGGCCCTGGTTTTTCCTGCTCTGCTCATGCAGTATAAAATTACAGAAGATAGATCGCTAACGTACGCCGGGAAAAACAGGAAAACAATTCCAGAGCTGCGTAGCAGATAAAAAAAAATGAAAAATAAAAAAAATAAAAAAAAGAGAGAGGAAATATGAGGAGACGCAAACTACTCCTACAGTAGTTATCATGCAGTGGGAACAGTACCAGCCCTAGCAGCCTTGCAATTGATTGCTCAATACTGGTATTGTAATCCGTCGGATGTCATGTCACACGACTGTCGTCTATCTTTTCTGCTAGAACCAGCAGCGACAGTTTACCGAACGTATCCAAATTTCTCTCGCCTGAACAAATTAACGGAGAGGTAGCGAGATATGGATTGCAATTACCTGCCTATGGATATCTAACCGCAGCCTACGGTCCAGCCGGGGAGGGAACTTGTCCTGCCCGCCCGCCCGCGCACGCCCACTATCGCATGTTGAGCGATTTTCCCAATTGTTGCAGACTTTTTCGAATGTAAACATCCGCACCGCACCGCACCGCCCAAAAAGGGTTCCCATTCTTTTTGTGCGACGGGAGAAAAAAATAAAATAAAATAACTGGGCCCTCTGCTTTCAACCCCCTGGACCCCCCCAATTGAGTTTCCAATCAGACTGTGAATAAACATATCGCATTTATGGGACAAGATGCTGCGGCGACAATTATTTTTTTGGACTTTGACGTCAGGATTTATCAAGGTTTTTGCTTTTTGGGAGGCTCTCTATTGGTGGGGGGGCGGCGGAGGGGCGTTTGTGGGTTGGGGTTTATTTTGTGATGGGTAATAATTTATTATTATTTGCCCTTTCCCTACAATTTTACTTTTACTAGGTTGGAATTTTGCTAGTTATTCGTCATCCTGTCTTGGAATATATTGGGGATTGCTGGGTTGCATTGGGGGGAGAAGTCGATAAGGTCGGTACGGTAACCAAACGCCGACAGCTAACAATTGGGCAGGGCAGGGCATGGCGCATCCGAAAATGCAGGCGTTTATGAGGGTTGATCTACAACTAAGACCAACTAGTAGTACGTCTACTGCTGCTGCTGCTGCTACGCTACTGTCAATCATGGGCAGGGCACGCGTTCCTTCATCACCTGCAAGGATTTTAGATTCGAACTTTCTACAGCAATCAAACCTGAACAATGGATCGTCCAGAAACGAGTTTCGGTACATGACTTGACTTGGTTTTTTTTTTTGTTCCAAGGTTCTAGATTTTCCAACCGCGCCTCGTAGGTACAAACGTACACGTAGAGTAGTACGGTACGTCCAACCAACGTGCAACAACCTACTACAATCAATCAATCAGTCAATCAATCAGTCAGTTTAATGGTTCTCGCCCAGAAATTACCGCCCTAGATTCCCGCGGAATGTGGTGAAAATTCGGGGATCACCAATTGAGGTCCTTGCTACTGGATGGAGTTGCTCTGGAAAAGGGTAGATCAGTACATACAGCGGCCGGCTCGCTGGCTGCGTCGCCGAAGGGGAACTCCCCCCTTAGATGTGCTTGCTGCACTCACTGGTAGAGTAGAGTACTGTTCCTAGGTACGTAATAGTACTAGCTATAGGTAGAGTAGGTAGGTACTCTACCCACAGACATATCCTATCAGCCTATGGTCGACAAGAACGAAAGGAAATATTACAGGCACCTTGCTGACATTGTTTGTGGTACCTGTAGCTCTCTGCTCTACTCTTCAAACAACCCCCCCCCCCCCACCACACCTAACCTGCATCCATCTGCGGAAACCACTTACCGGAACATCGCGCCCCAATTTCGCCTCCACCTATCAGCGGGATGTTCATGTAGCCCTATTCAAAAGATAACTAACCCGCTGATTCCCTCCTACATACGCTCCCTAATATAGGCATCCTGCCTACACTTTACAACTACATGTATTGAGCATGAGCATGAGAGCTCAGTGGGATCATCCCTACACATCTGATAATTGACCCTCCCCCCCACCACCAACACCCCCCCCCCCCTTTCCCATCGCCCCCCCGGCGCCCGGAGAAGGACATTGCAGATAGTGAAGAAAAAAAATTTCACAGGCGCTCACTCGGGACTTGGCTAAAGGGGGCGTGTTGCAGATATAAGTATTGCTACTGTTCCGCTGTGTTTTTGTTTGAAGGACAGCACGAGAGTCACTCTTACTCAAACACAAAGCCTTACAACTACACTGCTACTACCAGTTCCTTCAAGTCTTATATTACATCCTACTACAACTACCACTACTACTACACCTCCTCAAGGAACCAATTCCATTACACTCACAAAGTTCTCAAACAAACAACCTCAAACACTCATCCACCATGTGCACCTGCTCCCAGCCCCTCGACTACGACTACCACCGCACCACCCGTACCCTCCCCATCATCGAAAAATCCTACGACCGCCACTCCCACCCACACTACTCCACTGCCCCGCGCACAACCCGCTACCACGCCTCCCCCGACACCTACCGCGGCGCCACCGCCTACACCAGCACGAGCACCCGCATCCCGCTCTCCAGCCGCAGGCGCTCCACCACGCCTCCACCCGTGCTGATCCAAAGCACACCCATGGGGCGGTCCGAGCTGTCCCCGCGCCTCAGCCCCGGCGGCCGCTACAGCCGCAGCAGCCGCAGCAGCCTCGACAGCCCCACGTCCAGCATCCGCAGCGGCGAGATGGGCTTCAACCAGCCGATGGTGCTCCAGGCCGATGGCCTCGGCCCCGTGATCCACCAGGGCGTCCCGTCGTCGCACTACCAAGCGGCCCACAACACAGGCTATGCGCCGCATGTGCATGCGGGAGGCGTGAGGGCGGCGGCGGGGCAGAGACGGTATACGGTGAACCCGGGCGGCGACAGGTCGAGCTATATTGGGTATCGGTCGGATCAGGGGTCCGTGGGCAGTGATGATGGGTATATCAGTGGCGGGAGGCTGTATACGAATGAGGTGAGGAGGAGCTATGGCGGACGGAGAGAGTCTACTCCTGTGAGGAGGTATTCATGATCTTGACGATCGGTCTTTTCTGGCGGGGAGGAATTTCATTTGTTATGGAGAGCCCCCTTGGCGGGGATAGCTACGGGTGAGAGTTATCGTTATGTGCTTTTAGTGTATTTTTTAGTTTTTGTTTGCTGTTCTCTTTAATTTTTGGATCAGTAACAGGTTGTTCTTCAACTACAAGCCATTTCCTTTTTTTTTGTCATAACGTTTTTGACGTTTTTCTTTTGTTATTTATTATTGTTATGCTAAGCAAAGCCACCAATTCGGTTCAATATGCTGTGCTGGGAGTTTGATGATGATAACGATTATGAGGGATGAGCGATGAGGGATGAAGGATCCGGAGGAGTTTCAAAAAAACAATTTGTTATATGTACATGATCTATTTTGCTAGCCTACTTTCTTTTCCACTGTAAACATTCATGATTTTACGTCTCACACGGGTTTACGTTCTCCATTTTACTCTTTACATTTTTTACATTGTTACATTGTTACATCTATCTATCCTGCTTGCAATTGCTCTGATAGAGATTCGAATTCCACAACATAGAACTATGTACATGTAGGTGGCTTCTTATTTTTTTTTTTTTTTTTTTTTAGTTAATACTGAACCAATGATCATATTGCCACCATTTTCCACACCCCACCCCCACCACACCACACCCTAGCCTAGCCTAGCGTAGCTCGCTGTGTAATTCTGCCTCAAGTGACCGGCGGTACCGGTTCGGTTTTCGTCCCAGCGCCATGTACCACTGTCGTCCGCCGGCCAATGGGGTGGCAACATTCCTCGCCAAGGCTGGCTAGGTAAGCTAGCCTCATGTATTCTAGCGTAGAGTAGAGTAGGTAAACGTTACTTGGTGTAGAACAGACAGACCAACATGCCTGCATATGCGAGTCATTGTTCACGGCTGCATGAAATACTCTAGCACTGTAAATCGTTCTTGAGGGTGTCGTCGTACTGATGTCGTCGTGGAAAATAAATTTTTGAATTCGAAAGGCTGAAAGAAAAAATCTTGGAAAGAGAAAAAAATTTCAGCCCTAGTGATTTGGTCTGCGTTTTTTCCTACATATGTACTTATCGCGAACCCCAATTTTGGGGAGGGGGGCGTATGCAAATGTACGTACCGTACGCGCGCTGCCGGATATAATTATATCATGGTTTGTATATATATCCAGAGCGCTAACTATGTAGTCTGGCATGTAAGTACATATAGTAGAGAAGAAGTCTACCAGCCAGCCAGTAGGGCTCTTTCTTTTTTATATATGTACCTGCAACTTCCATCACGAGGACCCTAGATAGCTGAAGTCGAAATTTCTCGGAGTTTTGTTCCTGGTCTTGGCAAACAAAAAGTACTAGTAATCATAAAAGGAGGGTTAGGTTACGTATCAATGCATGTACGTAGAAGTTTTATGCAGGTATTTAATCTAAGGAAGTGATATTCGGAGCTAACTACCACGCGTGCACACCACCACACGGCAGTAGTAAAGTAGAGCTGATAGCAACACAAGAAAATCTTGGGCCCGTACCAATGGTATCACTTTATCAACAAAGTGGCCCCAAATTGGAAGTTATGCAGTAGATTGATGCTAAGAACGGATAAAATGTTGGCTTGGAAGGGTGCCCGGTCATCCCTGTAAACGTTTTTCTTTAAAAGTATTGTTTCCCATTCAATACCTACTCACATTTTGAACTTCAGGCGAGTCAATATAGTACTGTGCATATAGGGTTGCCGGTACTGTTAATGTTCCCCTCCCCCTCCACCCCCCCCCCCCCCCTCTCGTTCCTCAAGGAAGTAGTCAACCCCATCTTTGGGAATTGCTGGGTTTAAACGAGAGCTATCTCTTCTCTTGCATTCACCGGCCCTTCCTTTGCCACTAAAGAATGAAGCTGCAGATATTGATATGTTGGCCGTGGAGCGAGGTCATTCCATTACTTTACGAGAAGTTCTGATCAGCTCATTTTAGGAAGGTGCGTTTATGCACCCAAACTTATTCCTCCACATTATTGGTAGCTTTTGTTTCATCAACATCTGCATGCCAGCAAGCACCAAGATGTTTGCTATCATGTGAAGGTTTCCTAAGCTCCGGTCTCGAATAATTTACTAATCATTCGTATATCACGCCATCAAACAAATATATTGTCCAATGAAAGTGAGATCCATATTATACGCCCGAGGCTACGCAGAGCACCGTTGCCTGAATATCAATTATTTTCGGTACTGAATTCATCAAATCGCCTTCAATTCGAGGGCCAATTTGGCCCATGGTCTTCAGCGAATAGCAATGAATAAACCTGATTTCAAGATTCACCACGCTTATCGTGTTGCCCAGAAAGCGGGAACTGTAGTAAATTGTCTCAGAAAGCCGATCTGGTACGTATCCAGAAGAACAATTGGACACGTAAATCACTGGATTTGGCCTATGGAGTTTTCGACTAATAGGCATCGCCTTACACCAAAGTGCGGGGCAGCTGCAGCTGCAGCTAAGATTCTGGTGATGTTATCAGTTGTGGGAGGTTATGTACCACCAAAATGAGGTTCAATTCGCTGTTGTTAACCTGGGCCTGCAGCCGTTGATGCATCAACCGTTGGCTAGTCAGAACCTTGTGTCCTATCATAACCTCAGGGGTGAGGTTATCTGTATTATTATCCTATATGTCAGTATGTACTACATACTTGACGTGCATACAACATCCTGGGACCTCTAGATGAGCCCAGAACTTGGAGATGGTAAGTAATAGATGGGTTATCGGCAGATGTACCCGTACTTTCTTCTTGGAGAATAATTTAAAATTGATAGCTTGAATTTGACTCCGTATTCCTCACCCATGATCCAGGCAAGTGGGACTCAGGCTTGCAGGCGCAGGTCCAATGGGATTGCGCATCTTTGATTGTAAATATATTTCCTTTAACGTCCATGAGCGGACACCGAAAACTTGGCGCGAACATCCGCAGGGAAAGCATGTGTAACTACCTAACTGCGTAACGGAAGCTTCCTCCTAATGTGCAATTGAGTTCAAAAATTACATCATATGTAGGGTGCGAAAGGGCATTAAGTGGCCAAAGCTCGCGCATCTCTCAAGCCAGGTCTTGGCAAAGTCGAGGACGAAATCGAAGACGACATCCTACAAGTGCGTAGATAGATTTGTTGTCTGAGCTATTATCTCCTCTCTTATCCTTTTGCATTAGTACCATTGTTAGTCCATGAGTCAAACGTAAAAGCGGTTTCTGTTCCAATGAGAATTCTCTGAATATCGAGGCTATGTGGCGAGCTCAGGGGCCTTAAAACCTTTGGCCCTGATAGTTATCTGTTATAAAAGAAATAGTAAATCTTGAGCAACATATCCCTCGGATGGCTGTTACAGCGTGTCTGCCTAGAAGCAGCCCTAACCCATATGCATTGAGTCTGAAAACGTCCATATTTGCCAAATTGCTTTCATTTGTTTGCGGCTCCGGTGATGGCGAGATTTGGGAGAATTAATACTCGTGCATAACGCCAGGCAATTCTCGTATCCCAAGAAGAGTCAATTGATACCGCAAAATTTTGAGTTATTCGGGGGTTGCCAAGGCAAAAAGCTGAGGATCTTCACTTTAGAGAAAGAGATCTTCGAGAAAACAGCCCTCCTCTGCAGAATCTAAACTAAATGTAGTTTAGCAGGTGGCCTTGGTAACCCCCCAAATAACTCAAAATTTTGCGGTACAGATTGATTGCCACTGTCTCGGATATCAACATCAGTTCGGATCCGATGCCTGAAGAAGCACATGCCTAGCTCGCCCCTGAGTCGGATTGATATATTGGAGCCGAGACAAAGCCTTAATTCTCAAGTTATACATCCCTTGAGTCGATCTTTTGATACGGGCCGGGCCGACTCGGCTTGAGATCGCCCGGGCTAGGGTAACGACTTCAAGCTAGAGCTCCAGCTCTTGGACCAGTATCCGCAGAATCAGATGTTTTTAGTAACTTTTTACCCACGTGAGAGTGGAGCCCTGCTGAAGAATCGAGGGCCTGGAAGATTTAGTCGAGATTGATACAACGAGATCTTCATCCAGCTTGGCCCGCGGCCACAAAAAGGGATAATAATAAACCCTAAGTATGTAGTAGAGATGGCAAGATGTGAGCTGGAGACGTGGGGGTAACATTGAGGTGTGGTGCACGTGGAGAGGGGAGAGGTCGAGACTGGGCGGAAGCTTGAGAGGTGAACGTAATCGTAGAGCTACTAACACGACATCAAGCCACACTATCTAGATTGCTCAAAACGACGTTGCGTGATAGCAACCCACCAGAAAAACGCCTCTATCACAATGCCAACATTATATTATATTACCCCCCATAGTCGAGAAGCAACCGCCTCCCTCCTTCCTTCTCCCCCAGGGGGCACATTTTAGCAGCCTTGCTATCATCATTCAAGCGCCCAAGTACCGTTATCCGAGAGGGATAGCGCACCCGGATTCGTCTCGTTCCCAGACGCAGAATCAAAGCAAACACAGACTGGGCACGAGACTACACCTGGATAGTGTTTCCTTAAGGGGATGTTACTCGGGATCTACGTATCAACCTAAGCAGCCCACCTTTGCACAATCAGTCTATCGGCGTCATGATCTATCACTCGCTGGGTCTTGGCATATCTCCTGGTTAATGCGTCACCATTCTTCTGATTGGGCAACATTGTGAACAAGACTACCTTTCATATATATCAAATACAGGCAAGACAAAGTGTCCCCCCATGACGCGTCCGATCTTGCTGTCACTGCCTGTAAGGCCATACCGGAGAAAGTTCACAGAACGGCCTAGCATTTGGAAGTAATAATGGCATGAGCAGCTAGGCTCCCTTTCTAGAGACAATTGAAGGCTCATATGGTTCGAGCCCAGTAGCTCTGATTTTAATTAAACTCAAGTCTTGGAAGATAATATTCACCATAGATTTTGCTCTCAAAGGTATTCAGGGGAAATTCATTGAATATCGACTCACCCCATTGTTCAGGCTCGTCTCACGGCCCTCAATGTCTGGCACAAAAATTCAAAGATATGGTAGAAAGAAGAGGCATAAATGTATATCTACAGATTCCTAAATTGACTTGGTTGATACTGGCTCTAGATATCTGAAACATTGCATGCAATTAATGAATTAAACAAAAAAAAAAAAAGATATCTGAAACATGAACCTCCAATAACCCTAACCCTATAATCGTGCCCCCCATTGGACGGAGTCTAACTACAGAAAGCTGAGAATGGGAGCAGATTCCTTGGCTTTATAGGGATACAGGTTGCAGACAAAAAGAGCAGCATGCAATAAAAAAAAAATTCCTAGTTAGGTCTCCGCTTTTTGCTATGTAGATAGCCAATGGCCGGCTCCCAATATTTCCTACATGCTTACGGCCCGTTTGGGAGCAGTCCGGAGCGGAGTTATTGGGGCTTGAAACTCCGTTCTGCTGAAAACTCCGTTCTGAGAAAACAGATTTTTTTTTTTTTTTTTTTTTGGCGACCCATTTTGCAGGTCTATAAAACAACGTTAACCTTATTATGAAAACGGAGTTTTAACTTTTCTTATCACAACTTGCCACCACCCAATTTTGCCTTGTCGTAACGTACCCTCAACACCACAGTCACGTCTCCCAAACAGTACACGTCACGCTTAATAACTCCGCCCCAAAACCCCCCTCCATTTCCTCCACTTTACGCTACAAGTTGCGGTTTTTCGGCATTTGGACTTTTGAATGCCCTTGCTAACGGAGGCCTGGGCAAAACGGCGTTTTCTACAGTCTCGACTCCCAAACGTGCCCTGACCATTCTTCTCGTGGCTTTGTAATCGGTGTAACAAGGTGCTGTTTGGAGATTTACAGCAGCTTATTGGGCACGTGCACTGCAGTTTGAATCTCCATATATATATAAGGGTAAATACCTTCTATCAGAATACTTGCCCTATAGTATAAAGGTACCACTTCTCGGTACTTATGTAGTTATTGGGCTTTTTGAGCACAAATTGACCCTTGCTATCAGGGTACCGGTTTCCGGTCTCGAGCGTACCCATTCGGCTGTAGCTGGTTTAGTTGAGTGTGCGGTAATAGTTGGTTTCAAAAAGTCCGAAATTCGGCATCAAAACCCTCAGCAAGTAAGGGGGGGCACCCAGGACTCGAACCTGGGCCGGGCCGTTCAAACAGTGACGGTAACTATTGAGACTCTTGATACGCTCGGGAGCTATGGGCTTGGCAATGGTGGCTACAATGTGCATGGCCCATGCGAGTCGACAGGCTCGGAGATACTAGGTGTTACATGTAGCTACATGTGGTTGAGTATAATTAACGTCCACTGGTATATCTCACTCAATTGGAGGTTTCCCGGGACTTTCTAGACAAACCATTCGACGCAAATGTTCTGTTTTCTAGTAGTTCTATTAAAGCTACAACCCAGTCCATAGCATAAAGCGAGCAATAAGGCCTAAAACTGAGTAATGGAACGGAAGACCGCCAGAAGGTTAAACCAATTCCTGTGCGTTCGTAGGGGGCTGAAATGTAATAGGCGTTAACCCCAAAATACGCTCCATTCAATACTCCCTTCCCAAAGACCGCAAATCTCCCACGCCCTAAAACCTCCAGTCTACCACAACCAAGCCGGTCCGTTCCAGCTGTAAACCAGGTGCATTAAACCCCTCCAAACACAGAAGAAGAAAAATAAAGAAAAGAAACCCCCCCCAAAGCCCCAATCCACCCATAGCCTACTCCTCCCTACTATAAAAATTGTCCACTACGACCCTCAAGCCGCTCCCCCAGACGCCAATCGCCGCATATATATCCCTACTTCCATCGAGACCCTCAGTGGGGTCCTTCCCCCTCTGCGAATCCATCTCCTCATACAACCTCCAACCCCCCGCCGGCTTCCCATCGCGTGTCACAAAGATCTCGATCCCCCTACCACCCGTATCTATCGGGAACCTCATAGCTATCACACCCACAGTCAGCATCCACTCCCACACACACTCACTCACACCACTCCAAATTGCGAACAGAGAGAACTTACAGATCCCAATCCTCTCCCCCGCCCTAAACGGCGGTCCGAAATCCTTACCTCCATGATCATCATTACAGTACCTGCGCCCATCATCCGAATGCACGCCCAAGCTCCCTCTATGCCACCCCGGCAGCCTAAACGCCGGATACGGCTTCGCCGCAAAGCCCACTGCCACCAACGCCGCCTCGCTGGGCAGCCCCAGCACCATAACCTCATACCCAAACACCCTTCCACGGCGCGTATTCGCCGGGTGGTGGTAGCCGGCGGCAAACAGCGGGGCCGCACTGGTGAGGCATGCGTCCTCTGTGCCGTTCGCCTCGACTAACACGCCGCCATTGACGGCGCTGATGGAGCCGCGGAAGTGGCGGGGCGGCGGGCCGAGGGAGAGCGGAGCCGGGTGCGTAGGGATGGAGGAGAGGAGTGCGTATGGGAACCGCTCCGGCGGGAAGAGGGGGTTGAGGGTTGTGAAGCGGTGGCCGGCGTCAGAGAGGGCGCGTGTGGAGTTGAAGGCGGGCGAGATTTCGTGGGAGATGCTTGGTGGCGGGGGGAGGTCCTCGATGGTGGTAGAGGAAGGCGGGGGGAAGGCGGGAGGTTTGTAGTCGTCCGTGTAGGTGCTGGTCGGGCAAGGGGTGTAGGCGGGCGGGGCGCCGTCATTGACTTCGCTATCGTGTGGATATGTGCTGCTGCTGCTGGCGGGGAAGGAGGGAGCGGCGTAGGTGTTGGTGTTGGTGGGGGTGGGCCATAGCTGCTCTTGTTGTCTGGAGGGTACTCAGAGGGTCCGTAGCTACTCTTGTTGTCCGGGGGGTACTCAGAAGGGGGTGGGCCGTAGCTACTCCCATTATCGGGAGAGCACTCAGAGGGGTGCGGGGCGGGGGGGAAGTTGTAGGCTGGGTTTATAGGGTTATCCTGCGGGCCCTTGAGCTTGCGAGACCATTTCTTTATGTGGTCCATGTCTGTAGCTGTATTCTGTAGTAGCTAGGTAACTATCTGTAGCGAATAGGTAAGATAAATATCTATATCCGTGAAGACTCAGGCAGGGTGCTGGTAGTGGAGTTGTTTATACCAAACGTGCATGATCGTGGGGGGTCTTGCAGTATTTATCCGCGTTCCTGCTGCGCTCAGCCCGGCATCATGAAACATAGCCAATCTTGCATGACATGACGCAACGTCGATCAAGCACCGGGGGTGAATTCATGAGGCTTAGCCTTCATCCTAAATCCCCAGGAAGCTTTCGCAGAAATGTTCTCCTCGCAGCTCTCCCCGCGCGAGGCAGCATTCAACTGTGCTCACCTGAGTTCACTTCTAACTAAGCCCCCACGGGACTTTTGAGGAAGATGCCTTGGCGCCCAGGCAGCATAGCCTCAAGAAGCCTCCGTCATGGAATATCACTCGCTATGCTCGGTTGCTGGGCTAGCTGTGTACGGTAATGACGAGCTTTGGCTAGCCAGCTAGATCCCATGGCGAACATACATCCAAACACAACACCGCGGAGGAGACACCGCCTGAGGCCCCTTCTTCTTTCCCCGGATTCCTTCAAGGCCGACAGGGCGTTGCAGGTGCCACCACGATTCCTGGCGTAGCTATGGGCTTTTGTGCCACACTATGATAGTAAAAAAAAAAACGTGGGGAGGCTCCTATCTAGTCGCAACGGAAGCCCATGCTACTGCTATCTGCCCCGGGAGCCTTCCGTCGAGAGGAGCCTCGCCCGTCCCAAATTAGCCCAATCAGAGGGCTATTTCAAAGCTGTCATCCTATCCCACGAGCCTATAAATCCCGATACCAAGCACCATACCACCACTGTAGAGAGGGGGTCCAGCTGTATGTTTTTGTGCATATAGACGCAAACCTGCATGATGGATGGAAGCTATTGGAACCCTACTCCTTAGCTACATCTTTTCGGATGGTCAGTGGTTTTCGACGCTTTAAAGCTAGCCAGGAGTTCAGTATAGATTTTATCCTACGTGAATCGCAAGAGAGAGGGTCGAGCTCAGTTCATAAAGTCAACAAGCTCAAATGATAGTTTACTGATGATCAGAAGAAAGGAAAGGGGGCAAGAGCAAAGAAATAGCCGGGGACAGGACCAGCCACACCGTATCCGTTGTGACATGTCCGCTTCGACTGGCTTGTACCACAAGGCCACCCGTCGCCGGAGTACTCTACTAGTAAAAACGGGGCAGAGGTCCGGTTCTTGGACTTTGCTAATTTAAAAAATCAATATAACTGCCAGAAACAACAACCGCAATGACTTACCATAGATACCAAAAGTTGGAGTTCTGTCAAGGGACTGTAATATTTCATTATGGAGTCAGTCTAAACTATATACACATGTATCTTAAAGAGTGTGTAAGGTCAAATTGCACTTCCAAGGCCCAATAAACTAAGAAGTCATATGCTTACTCCTAAATATAGCAGATACTCTTATAGCGAGCGTGATTCGACTGTACTCAAGTCTGCAAACCCTATGGGCCTTAATATGATCTGGCCAGGGCCTACATAGGTCCCGGAAACTTTCAAGGCCCAGTTCATCAAAAGCAAGAGAAGACAAGTCTCGTTCTATCCTGTCCTGCGCCCACCACCACCATGAACAGGGCCGAGTGAGTGTTGGAGGAAGACACCAGCCTGGACTATCAATCTACCCCTGATAGACTATGTTACATGGAGACCTATGGAATCAGTGGGCGTCAGCGGACAGGCGGCATCCACGAGCGGGCTAGAATACGCCAACTCTATGTACTAGCTACAGTACGTCCAACCACATCTCCACCTCACTCTGCATAGCAGGATACGGGACTTCGTAACCACCTGTATATAAAAGAACGTGGGAAACTGCCTACTGTCTGCACTCACACCCCGGGCAAATGCGGGTGATGCTCCATGAAGGTCGACAAAAGCCCGTCTCCCAAGTCAGAATCCTTCAACTGGGCTGGCTACATACATACTTCCACCAGTATCACTACCTCAAATACATCGCTACACATATTATATCGAACTGTCAACCCCACCTCACCTCATAGGAGCTAGCAGAGACGGGAAAGAAACCAAATCTCAAATTCTTGACGCCTTATATACAATACAAAAGCACTTTTTTTCTATGGCTGGAGTTAAACAAACGTCATGTATGTAGTCTACCCTGTAAATAAGACCATCCAAACAGCCAGTAAACGACTAGACCCTCGCTGTACACCACAAACCACAAACCACAAACCAAAAAAAAAAAAAAAAAAAAAAAAGAAAGGGAAGGAAAGAAAAAAAGAAACCTCTATTTTAACATTACAACATCAAAAAAACACCATATACCCCCACCGCAACGCCACTAAAACGAACTCTCCTTGACCTCCCCCCTCCCCGTAGCAGGCCGATACTCGATCCACCTGACCCTCCTGCGCTCGACGAGCCTGCCAGGGTTCATGACATTGCACCCCTCGTATGTGAGCGCAAACGGCTGCATCGCCGGCTCGCACAGCACCAGCGCCGTGGGCAGCGGGTAGAGCATCAGCGCGTGCCAGTAGTCCCACAGCACGGGGCGCGTGCCGAGCGCAAAGGGGGAGAGGTAGCCCTGGTCGAGGATTGTTTTCACCAGCTGCACGAATCCAAGCTCATCAGCACACACATACAGAAACAGAAGAGACAGAGTTGAGAAATTGGGGGGATCATACCTTCCTAGCGCCCTTCACATCCTCATCCACCACGACCCCCTCCCTCTCCCTCTCCTCCCTCTCCTCCTCCCCCTCCTCCTCCCTTCCCCCCCCCCCCTCCTTTTCCTTCCCTCCCTCCTCCACATCCAAATCCATCCCCTCCCCCTCCCCCTCCCCCCTCCTAAACCCCACCGCATTCCTCCTCAACCGCCCCACCACATCATCCCTACACACCACCACCTCCTGCGTAAAGTACCCCACCCGGCACGGATTACTCGTCCACACGGCCTCGCCGCCCGCCGCCGCCCCCTGAAACACCCGCCGCACCCGCCCCGTAAACATCTCGGGCACCGCCTTTCGCGGCAGCGCCGCCGACGACCCGCCCGAAAACGTGCTCGCCCACGGGTCGTTGTCGCCCGGCACAAACACGAACGTCGACGCCTCTGTCAGCGCCTTAAAGTCCGCCAGCAGCGACGCGAGGCGGTCGAAATATTCTACCATCCACCAAGTGGTGTTAGTCAATGATCGCTGCGACATGTTTTTAGCCGCGGGGAAAAAGGGATACCTTTATATGCAACGCTGCCACCATTCGTACCCATCGCAATGCTCGTGAACGAGCCAATAAGCATAATCATAAGCGGCGGCGCCTCTTCCAGTATCTCAAAGACCCTTCTCAGCCCCTCCAGGACGCCCTTCCCATCGAGCTCCACAGCGCCCAAAAACACCATCCTCACGCCCTCCTCACTCTCCGCCCTCCGCATCGCGCGGCCCTGCTGGCCGCCGCCGCCGCCGCCACCATCACCAAAATTAACACCCATATCCAGCGTAACGCCATTTCCAAGGAAGTCCACATGGCCAAACACCTCCGCGCTCGCATCGCGGCGCTCCGGGAGGGGCTGGCCCACGGTATAGACCGTGAACTTGCTATTCTCCTCGAACGCGCCGTCGACGATGCAGAAGCAGCCTGGTGCGAACCAGCTGCCGTCCTCGGGGACGGCGACGGCGATGGACAGATCGAGGACGATCTCGCCGGAGGTGTCGATGAGGGTGAGCACGCCGCTGGGGTTGACGGCGAGCATGCCGAAGAGGAGGAAGTTCTGTCCGGCGCGGCCGAGCAGGTTGGAGATGGGGGTGAGCTTGTGCTGCTCCCGGGCGGTGGCCTTTGTGGCGGCGAGGAAGGTGGGGGGGAGGAAGAGTTCTGTGCGGAGGAGGCGCTGGTGCAGGAGGGTGCAGCGGGTGCGGAAGAGGGTTGTTTTCGCGGAGGCGGGGGGGAGGAGGGTGGGTTTTGGTGCTCTGTTTTGTTCGTGTATCATAGTCAATACCAATTCCAATTCCAATTCCAATTCCTGCATCTCCAATCATTGGCTGGCCACTCACTTTTCAAACCCGCGCTTCAGCGGATTATACGCCCACTTCGGCATCGCAAACGCATCCACAACCTTCAAAAACCTCTTCCCATCCACGCCGCCTTCCACATCCAACACCCCCGCACCACCGCCCGCCGCCGCCGCAACATGCGCCTCCACCTCGGCACCCCACAACTGACTACTCTCCACGCCCCTGCCCAAATCCCACTCCTCCCCCCTCACCGCCCCGACCCTCAACAGATCCCCCGCCCCCGCGGACCCCGCACCCGGCACCTCCATCCCCCTGATAACGCCCTTCAGCGCCTCCCCGCCATCCACCAGCACTCCCTGCGCACCCTCATTCCGCTTCCACTGCCTCGCAATCTCATCCAGCAGCCGCTCCCCCGTGCCCGAGTCGCGCCAGTCAGCGCCGCAGCGGCGCCCCACGAACGCGCATAGCAGCGCCAGCGCGTCAGACTTGAGCGTGAGGTTGTGTTTCTTGGTGAAGACGCGGAAGGCCACGGGGCGGAGGATGCTCGGCGGGATCTCGACGGCGAGGATGCGCGGTGTGGGCGCGCGGGAGGAGCTGGGCGGGAGGGAGCTGGGCGGGAGTGGCTCGAAGGGGTCGGAGGTGAATGTGGAGGAGGAGGTGGGGTGGATGTTTGTGGATTTGAGGGGGTGCTTGGGGCGGAAGAAGGCCTGGATCTTTTTCGCTGGAGGATTCATCGTAGTGTTCTGGGAGTGGTGGAATTGCACGTTTGGGGTTTCGGGGGGTTTTGCTTGCACGGGGGTTTGCGAGGGAGACGCGACGTGTTGACGCCAAGCAATTTTGGAAATGCAGCTGCAGGGAACGAGCAGATCCTAAGGTTTTCGTTCACAGTGTAGAACGGGGACAGAGACGGAGGAGAAGTTCAGACACAGCATCTAGCGATTCTTTAATTTCTATACAGCCATGAGAACCACAGCAGCCCTCGCAAAAAAACACAGGAAACGTTAAGATCTAGCCCGTAAAGTAAACCCCCCCCCCCCCCCAATGCACACATGCCAATGATAAGTACGGCAGGAAAAGACACAAATTACCCCGAAAACAACCTCCCTAAAGCCCGCCATGCCAATGAAAAACGCCTATGAAGATAGAAAAAATAGTAGAGGGGAAAAAAGATTTAAAAAGAAAAAAAAATCAAGGACGGAGAAATAGATATAAAAGAAAAGAAAAGATAGAAAGAAGTAGGATATGTTGAACGTTTAGAGGGTTCATATCGCCGCCATGTATCACACCATGTAGGTACATACAAATATTCCCCAACCACAGTACCCTCCATTTGCTTTCTATGCCCTATTATGACGAGCCCTGTAAATCACGACAGAAATCCCATCCCCTAATCGTACCACACGTCCTCACTTTCATCTCCTTCCTCTTCTTCATCGAGCTCCTCATTGTCCCACACGTACTCCCCGCCGACATCCCAGATGGTCCCAAGCTTCGCCCCGACATCAGAAGCCTCCTTAGCCAGCTCCCTCTGCTTCTCATTGACTTTCGCCAGCAGGAGCGCCTCCCTCTCCCCGTCCCTTAGCTTCCAGCCCTTCTGTCTACGCCCAGGGTGTTCCATAGCCCAGGCCGCAATAGCAATCGGCGTAAATCCCTTGCGATCCACGCTGAACGGGAGCCTGGACCCCTTGTTCAGTAATTCCTTGTAGAACTCGAGGCCGGGAATAGTGGCGGCAAAGTGGAGTAGAGAAGTTCCGTGTTTGTGCATCAAGTAGTCCTCCTTCGCCCCCGCCTCAGTGAGCAGCATCGCGGCTTTGGTTTGCTGAAACTTGATGGCCGTGTACAGCGGGCGGTGGCCATGGCCGTCTTCAATTTCAAGATCTCCGCCGTCCTTGATGCACTTTTTCAACACCTCCAGTGCGCCGTGTTGAACAGCGAGGTGAATGTATGTGCGCTTGCCGGGGGTTAATTCATAACCACTTTGGTACATGATTTCCAGAAGATCAATAACGGCCGGATTTCCTGATCTCTCCAAGCATGCAAAGACGTTCTTTCCCTGCTCGTTCTCCAAAGTATAATCGGCGCCAGACCGAAGTAGTGTCCTGACAATTTCGGCTCCCCCCTTTCGAAGAGCGGCAAGATGAAGTGGAGTGCTACTCCTTACCTGGTCCCCTTGCCTTGGATCGAGGTCCACCTGGTGGTCGAGGATCATTTGAACCACTGCTACGTCACGATAAGCGGCAGAAGCATGGAGAGGGGTCCAGAACTTCCCCCTAAGCTGCACCTTGGTATCCGGGAGTGCGCCTTTCGAGAGTAACTTTGCGACCAACTGGTTAGATATCTCAGGATCACTAAGAGCAAGGATGAGGGCAGACGTCTCATGGCAGTTCGGGTCGGCCCCATATTCCTCCAAGAGACACTCCGCCCATTCTTCACGGCCTGCTTTGATTGCCTGGTGTAGTGGTGTCCGCCCCTCGTGATCCACATCATCAACACACCCGGGGTTCTTTCTGAAAATATACTTCATAAAACAGACGAGGTGCTTCTCGGCAGCCCATCCAAGCGCGGTGTACCATACGGTTCCTCCTACTCTACGCGGGCGAGAAAGCAACAGCGATGAATCCCGAAGAACGTGCGTCAGCTGTTCCTTAGGCGGCATTGTTTTGAGCTCGACCCTTGTTGGCCCAGTAGTATCCCCCGCACGCCTGGCGAAATCAATCTCGATAGTTTTCATATTGCGCAACAGCTTCAGCGCCAGCATCTGGTCCTTCGCCATGGCCGCATAGAAGAGGAGTGACATGGTGTCTTCGTAACTGTTTTTGACCGTGTTGTAGAGGACGCTTGGAGCGGAAAGACGGCGGAAGAAGCAGCTTGTTTCTCTGAGGTTTACTAATGACCATATTGAGCACTCTTTGACGATTTGGATGAGGATCTCGGTTGGGAGCCTCATCAGAAGGCTGTTTTCCACAAATTGTGGAGATGATTTTGGAGACATTGGTGGTTCGGTGGTAAGGTCGGAAATTGCAGGGAAAGATATTGGTGAAGGTAGAGAGGAAGCAAAGCCGATCATATAATGGGCTAAACGAAAGAAGAATGAGTCGGTATATTCAGGTGACGGGATCATGCCATGAAAGAGAGGGACGGGGGGTTTGAGACGTTTTTATTTGAAGGCGTTGGTTGTGGGCGGGTAATTGATGTGAGACCTGTCAAAAGTGAGACTGGTTGAGGGCGATGTCGAGGTGAGTCTATGGAAGGAGGGGGGCACAACCTTTAGAACAGCAGATTACGTCAAAGATTGCTTGGGATAAATTTGATCGCATGACCCCGTATTTATTCCGTAGCTATCAATTCAAACTTGTACGTGTGTTGTATCCAAGTTCAGCCTCGCAGCTAGAGAAGACAGCTAGAAGTGCAATGTGGTAGCCATTCAACTACACTGTGACACACGAGCAGTGCACACAGAAAGCTGCAGCGGACAGGACAGTGCAATCGAAGAGAGTGGGTGGACAGCCTAAGGCCAGCCAGAAGAGAGATCAAGAGAGGAGGGGGGGGGGGGGGGGGTGAAAGGAGAAAGGCGGACGTGAAAGAGCGGACGAGAATAAGCTTTGTTGAAGACAGGAGGAGTTCCCAGTTACATCCCAGAACGTCAGTCTCTACTAGCGTACTTTTCTCATCATCTTGACACATGTTGTCTTCCGTTGGTCACTTGGCCTTCACAAGCCGAGCTGCTGCGCCCAATCAAACGTAACTCTTTGTACTCAGCCCAGAGATCTGTATCATAATACATGTAGGTACTTCTGGCCTGGCGATATCATAGGAGAAGAGCAGATACAAATTTGTGTGTTTGCGTGGCCGTGGCGACGGACCATGGTTCGCCCTCACCCAAGGGGATCCGGTGCGCACTCCATGAGCTTTTTAGGCCAATCTTGAAAGATCAATCCGCCACTTCATACCCCCCTAATCGAAAAAACAGTTTTCCCCAAACGATGGATGGATGTCCAACTCCTCATCGTCAGATTAGAATTAGGCATCGATTATTAGTCCGGTAAATTCCGTTTTACGCTAAAATACCCCTGTTGCGGCTCTGCGGATGACAAGGAATCTCCATGCTTTTTCGGCCCCCGGCCCCGTCCAAGCTTTTTTCCTGGTATCCAAGCAGAGGATAATCTAGGATCAGCACTCAAGCGATACATGCTCATCCGAACGGTTCAACTCAAAGTCTCCCCAAGATACATGTACATGCACGTACTAGTGCCATCTCTTCACGAATCGAGATGGGAATAAAGTGGATAGATTGAAGGATTTTGCAGACTGCCATTTTCATACTTACATTGTATTAGGGTGTAGCGAAAAGTGATCAGAATCTGATAAGACAAATACATGTATTCACCGCAACATTCACTTATCAGATTCTGATCACTTACCCTCAACACCCGGTACGTATCCCCTATTGATGATCCAATGGATTGGCACGGACCTCTCTGATCCATTCCGTACCCACCCACCCCTCTGGTACGTTCGGCACAAAGCGAGCTGCGCGCAGGGACCGAATACGAGTCTATGAGTGTGCAAAACACACTTGTGTGTTGTATGTTTATGCCTGAGATCAGTTTATGCCAGCATTTCTAAAATCTCTCCAATGGCTACATGTAGTCACGTGACCTATGAATTTTCAACATTGCGATGTAGGTACGGCAGTCTACAATGTTGGATGCCTGAACTAGGATCGTGACATGTTTGGCCGCTATTGAGTAGCCTGATTCTAATCACAATCTTTCACGACGCTCTTGATACATACTTGGCGCGTACGGCAGCTCACGTTACATGGTTAATAGGGTGTAAGTGATTGCCTTGAAGGTAATAGCAAGTCTATTATCGACACTGTGCCGTATGGTATTCTATGATGCGATTTTTATATACCGTTGTTGATTGGAGGGAGAGGTGAGAGCTCCTGTAGAGTAAGTGAGTGCTCGATGGTACTACCCCGATCAGTCGGTTTACAGACCATACAATTGTCCAAAATTACAACAAGAAAGGGCTGAACCAATCAAAACCCAAAAAAACCGTTTCTGGATACTAAGGATCACCATTCAATCACTCGGTTTTTTAGCAGCACCCATGTGACTGTTGCTTCCCCACTAGACCAAAACCAGTCGCGGCTGTTCTTAGGTCGCAACCCCACCCCACACAAACTCGCGAAATTCGGCCCAGCTACGCAAACCACCGTTACGAAATTTCCGCCCTTAGCTACAAACCCTCCTTGCAACAATCAACAACCACCACAGCCACCCTCAACAGTCGAGATTACCCATTAATCTTTTCGTCCAAAATGTCTTACAACAAGCCAGAGAAGGGCGAGTTCGGGGAAGGTCCCAAGATCCACCGCATCCGCATCACCCTCACCTCCCGCAAGGTCCAGGCTCTCGAGAAGGGTGCGTTTTTCATCTCCCACACCCCCCAAGAAAATTGGCGAAAAAGGGAGCAGGAGGAAATTAACGAACAAATGGGAATATCGTAGTCACCTCCGACCTCATCGAGCGTGCCAAGTCCAAGCAGCTCCGCGTCAAGGGCCCCGTCCGTCTCCCTACCCGCGTCCTCAAGGTCACCACCCGTAAGACCCCCTGTGGTGAGGGTTCCAAGACCTGGGATTGCTTCGAGATGAGAATCCACAAGCGTTTGATCGAGTATGTTACCCCCTCTAAGCTTCATTGAGACCTATGCGCTGGATTGCTAACTGGCTTGTAGTCTTAACGCCCCTACCGAGGTTGTCAAGCAGATCATCATCAACATTGAGGCCGGTGTCGAGGTTGAGGTCACTATCGCTGCCTAAGCGATAGTGGGAAGGAAGGTGAAAAAGGATACTCCCAATGGTGGGGGGGTATCAAAATAAAATAAAAATAAAAAATTTAAAAAAAAAAAAAAAACTTTCTCGGGTTCTCTTTTTCTTGATGTGAATATTGCATGGTGAAAAATGCGGCTTGACCGTTGTTTACGGTCATTTGGGGAATAAAATATATTAGGACTGGCAAAGCCCGTTATTTGAAGTCCTCTTTTAAAAAAAACAAATATCCGCTCTTGGATTAGTAGGACCTCAAACTAATGTTACTAGAAAGCTCGACCCCAACTTAAGGAGTATTTTCTGGGTCACAGATTATCACTCGACATTTGTCAGCTAAGGTCTCAACCCAGGCGATCAAGTCTCAAAGGTCGTTTAAAACAATTATGCCACCATTTCCTATTTAAATCAATGAACGCATGTAGTTCTAGATACATATATGTATTTATGTGTGCATAATTCATGCTATATCTAGATCCGTGTATCATGAAATATCACTCATCGACGAAACCCGACAACATTCACTCGTTCCTTGTAGATTTTGACCCGCATATTGTCTCGAAATTGATTTCCCTCCTTTCATACCAAAAATTCGAAGGACCTCGATGCAGTAAATAGGAATATGGAGTGGCATAAAAAATACACAAGCATGAAAGACAAGACTAGGAAAAAGAAACATCACTCCACCGCACTGAACCAGAACAGACAGCATCCTCGCAGGCACTGCGCCATAGAAGCCTCCCTTCGCGGTTTGCCTTACACCCCGCAGTTCTTCACATAAAACACAAAATGCAACTTGATTGGATAAGAGAGCCAAAATAAAATGTGGGGGGAAAGGGGAGGAATATTTAATCGAACTGAAATAATGACTATAGTTTTTTCTCTTCTTCCGTGTGCTTTGGGCTGGCTGGGCCCTTATCTCTCTCCGCGCTTGTTTCCTCAGCCGCTTTTGCAGCCTGTGCGTCCTCTGCTGCTTGTGCTAATGTCAGTCCGGGAATTGCACTGGCACCACTCAAGGCTTCAATTGGCTTTGGTGCTGCCGGTGCTGGGGTTGGTGCTGGCGAAGGTTCAGGTTTCTCAACAGGTTTCTCAACCGGTGGTGATGTTGGAACAATGTGTGGGGCAGGTGTGGGTGATTTTGCCTTGACAAGTTCAGGGTTTTCTGCTGCTGGAGCCACGGAAGATTGTTTAGGTGAAAGTACAGGGTCGGTTGTAGTAGGCGGGGGAACAACAGCGGTATCAGTCATTTCCTCGTCGTCCTTTGCCCCGTCTGTGCCTAGAGCCGATATTTTCGCTGCGGAGGTATCATCGCCCATTTCCACATCGCCGTCATCATCCGCACCTGCCGCCTCCTCCTCCTCAGCTTCCTTCCTGACAGCTTCTAGTTCATCATCATATTCGGCTAGGTTTTGATCATCCTCGCTATCTTTGGCGGCATCCTCTTTCTGAAGGGCTGCAAGGTTCTTCTGCGCACCTGAGCCACTGCTGGAACCAGTTTTACTACCGCCGGCTTCACTGGGTGCTGCGCTGTCGCCGCCACCCCCGAGAGGTGATTGCACGCCAGAACCTGCATTGGAGCCAATTTCTTTGTAATTGCTCTCGTTCCGACGGCGTGTTCTTCCCTGGCGACGGATACCAAGAGAATTGTCCATGTCCTCGTCTTCAGATTCCGACATGAGTTCTCCATCCTTTTCAATGTTACGATCCCACCTGCGCTGAGTGTGGCGTCGGTCCATGCCGATCGTATCATCTTCCTCATCATCAAGTATTGCGTCATTTTCCTCTTCCTGTTCCGTAAGGCCCCTGCCGACATCGGTCATTTGTACGCTGGGTGCGTGACGGGTGCGCTCGAGGTTTTGTAGGACAGCGGTTTTGATTTTTTCAAGGTATTCCCGAGAGTTAAGATTCTCCATGTTGGAGGGGCGGACGTCAAGCTCGTAATCGGGGCCGAAGTACTAGTATTGTCAGTATTATAAGGTTTAAATAGTAGGGTTATAGTTCACCTCATAGAAATCACTGAATGGCAGATCCGGGCCGACTTTCTGATTTACCAAGATACCGGTTTCGTAAGTCCAGGCTCTACTGACATTTCTCATGGTGTAGCCCCCACCACCCACAACCAGAGTAGGTAGATTGAATTTTTTGACAAATTCCACACAATTCGCGTGCCCGGCCATACTTAGGTTAAAACATCCGAGTCTATCGCCCGATAGACTGTCGGCACCGCACTGTAACACAACAGCGTCTGGTCTGTAGTATTCCATAACATGTCCAATCACTGGCTCAAAGACCTCCTTATAAGTGACATCGGTAATACCATCACGAAGGGGGAAATTGACAGCGTAGTGTTTTCCCTGCCCCACACCAATATCACGGAGTTCACCAGTACCCGGGAAGTATTCTCCATATTTGTGGAAGGAGACAGTCATAACGCGGTCTGTCGTATAGAAAGCTTCCTCGACTCCGTCACCATGATGCACATCGATATCAATGTACAGAACACGCTGCTTGTAACGCAGAAGTTCGATGATACCAAGGACAATGTCTGCGCAGTAAGGTTAGTATCGATGTCCCAGGTGCGCGAAAATGCAATGATACTGACCGTTAATATAGCAAAATCCAGATGCCTCGCTTTTCTTTGCGTGATGCAAACCTCCAGCCCAATTTATCGCGATATCGCATTTTCCGCGATTGAGCCTAGCGGCTCCTTCCATACTACCGCCGCCAGAAATTCCGCAGAACTCGAACAACCCGTCAAATACTGGACAATCATCGCCGACATTGTATTTTCCCTGCTCTTTTGCATATTGTTCCATGTTATCTGGGGTGACTTTCGAGAGGAAATCCACATATTCATCGGTGTGAAATTGGCACATTTCCTGTTTTGTTGCAGGTTTCGCTCGCTGATAGTGGAAGTGAGTGACAGTTATAGATAAACCCGAGTTGTCAGGGTGATCCTTACATATATTTCCATCTTCTTGTATAGGCCGTAATTCATAATCAGACTGTGGGTCATTCTTATCCTATGAGGCTTCATTGGATGCCCAGCGACATAAGCATAGTTTCTGGGAAAGACGTTAGCAACAGGAAATATTAATAAGTGGGACTGAAACATACCCTACATCAGCTGTTGGTAATGAAGGATTAAGTTAGTAAAATTGCAACGTTTCGTTTACAGTAACACTGCTTGTTCGGCATGGACAAGTTCGTGTTCTTGTATCTTGTAGTGACGCGATTCATACTGGGGCCTCGACTTGAACTTACAATCGTAGAACTACGCAGGCACACGAAAAAAAAAATCAGTATCAAATTCACATGAAACTATGGAACTCTTTTATATTGTTTTAATGAGAGCAATACTAACATAGGCCACACGTTTCGCATTAGATGACCCGTTTGTTGACGGAGGGTCGATGGGAGCGCCATACTGGGTCATGTCGCTGGCCGTAGAACCTAAAGCGTTCTGTAGCTATCGGAATTATTTAGAAAGAGTTGTATTCGTAGGCGGGGTGGCTAATAGTGGGGGTTGGTACGGAAGGGCGCAATTTCCAAGTGATGAAGAGTGACGAGCGAGACAGCAGTTGGTGCAGTAGAGGAAAGGGCGGAGGAAGGGGAAAGCTCAAGAAGAGGCTGAGACGGCTTCCTCCTACATTTAACTGTGGCGCACTGCTTAATTCCTCTCCGGGTAATCTGTGGCTGGTAATTATAGATCCTCGAATAGTTGTCACGTGGAATAATTGCGGGCAAGGTGGCTTTTATGAAAACGTCCAGTCAAGTCTTACCTCGATTGTCCAATTTGTCGCCTGCAACCCGCTCTGCAAGTCTCACATAATCCATCTTCTAAGATAATCTCCCCCCAAAACAATATTTCGCCTGCTTTATTCCACTGGATTTGGCAGCAGTGAAGAAATCAAAGCTCAGCAGTCTGTCTTCTTTTGTTTCGTCTTTGTGACCCTCGCAAAGCTATATATCTATCTTTACTTACTCCGAAGCTCCCAAATCAGATCACGCCCGGACTCCTTCAATAATGGCAGAAATGGCCATGTATTACGCCCTTGGGGCTGACGAGCCGGATGCGAACGACCCAAACCCTCCTGTATCTCAGCAGCAGCAGCAGCAGCAGCAATTCCGGCCTGCTGTAGCTCCCCCGCCAACTGGCTACCAGCAAATCGGCGGCTCTCCATACCAGCAGCCATCTTATGGCCAAGCTCCTGGACAGGCAGCGTCTCCCTACCAACCGCAAGGACCCTATGGTCAGGCGCCTTACAGTCAAGCTCCACCTACCTCTGCCTCCCCATATCAACCACAAACTGGGTATGGACCTCCACCGCAACAATCCAGCTCCTATGGGCCTCCTGGAGGGGATATTGGTGGCTTGACGGGTTCAATGTCTGGTATGGATCTTGCCGGGGGTGTCGGAGCTACTCCGGGGACCATATCTAAAGCTTCTCGGAAGAAGGCAAGAGCATACCACGATCTTGGGCAGACCCCAGAACCAGTAGCTGGCAGCAACCTACCCCCATATTCGCCGGGGGTTACATCCCATGTTCCTTCTCAATTTCTTGGCCAGCAACCAATGCAATCTCCAGGCTTCGGGGGCAATTCGCAATTTCCAGTTCCCGCGAATCAACCGTATTCTCCAGCTACAGGAACTAATCCCGCAGCGTTCGCCGCCCGTCCAGCTCAGGCGGCTTCTGTCAGTCAGCAAGGTGGTAAAATCGATCCGAATTCGATTCCATCAGTTCCACTCTCACGTGACTTTGCTACGACACATTATAAGACAGCAGTCTACTCGACACTTGATAAACAGGCACCACCAAATGCCAATTCCGATTTTATTGTCCATGATCAGGGCAATGCATCTCCTAAATTCTGCAGGTTGACTTTAAATTCAATCCCTGCAACTGCAGAACTTTTGGGATCGACGTCCTTGCCATTGGCACTTTTAATACAGCCGCTAGCGAAACAGAAGGAGGAAGAGAGCCCAATACCTG